CCGTTGCAAAGAGTGAGGCCGGCTTCCTCAATCACTGCCCGGTGGAATGCAGTGCCTCTTGGGGCGTGAAAAGTGTAGCCCCACAATACGTGATGTGCAGTGAAATTGGCCCCTATCAGTATATGATCATGTGGGTAGATGTCAAGTAGTTGTCGGATCCATCTGAAGTCTCCCTTGTTGCCTGTTCCAGTTTCAGGTAGAATGTAGACTGATCCAGGTAATATGTTGCGACCGATCTTGCATTCAACCGCTACAACTTCTTGGTATCAAGTGCAGTAATGAGCCACGTGGATTGGTGTGTGGGGTACCTCTTTAAGTCTGAATATCTCTGCCTGTGCTTGTACGGTCATGTCCGTTGTGGTGGTCGCCCTGTCGTGACCTGTTGAATTGGCAGCGAGAAGTATACCTTGTAGTCCAAATGTCGAAGCGACACTCTATAGTGGTGAATTTGTCCTCCAACAGGTTTCCAGTTGTTCACCTATGGTGTGAAGTTTGTCGTCGATGGCACTCTGGAGTGTTTGTATACCATCTTGATGAGAGATGAGTATTTCACCATTGTCGACGGTGAGGATACTTAAATCTGCATTTCTGTTTGTCTTTGCTGGTAGGCCTGATCTACCTGCTTTTTGCTTGTATGCATTCCTTTTCCTTCTCCCACTGGGACTCTTTGAGTAAACATTGCTTCTGCTCCAGGAGGATCTGCAGTGCGCGTTGCGTTTCTTGCAGAGTTCATTGGGTTCATTGAGTTTTGCGTTTGCGTCTCGGTGCCCTGAAGAGGACTGCTTCTTCCGAGCAAGTATACGGCATAGGACAATTCCCCTTCCCGTAAACGGGAATGTGAAGGCAGGTTTTGAAACATGACCGACGTGTATCTTTTTATAACTTTGTGAGACTGGGGCTGCGATGTTGAGACTTGGATTGAAGTTGTTTCCATTGTAGCTCTTCAGTTGGTTCTTTTGTAGCAGATGCAGCTGTTCATGTGTGGCAACAGGATCAATGCCTGTTGAGAGCCTCTGCTTTCTTAGCTTTTACCTTGGCATTCCTTCGTCGTCTTAATATAATGAGGCAGTCGTAGTAATGTGGCAACTTCTTTGCTGTCGTTCAGGGGCAGAACGTTTGTGGCTCGTCTCATGACAGTTCAGGCAAACGAGGCATCTGTTTTTAGGGCAAGGTGCGAGTTGGGCAGCTGTAGTAGTATGCTTGTCTTGGGATGGACGAAGCTTCCATCGCAACCAGGCTGGTGTGGGATTTCCCGAGCGTGCGAGCCGGGATAACTTGGCCATGCGACTAGAGGTTCTTGTGGATCTCTGCCTCGCTGCTGCCGGGTTTCACTATGTGAATGACGAAGCAGACCTTGTGTTGCGGTGGTGCGACATAGCTCGTCACTTTGATATCTCCCCACGTTGCACCTTCCATTTGAGTTACCTCTGTCGTGATGCTAGGAGTCCTTTATAGTCACGGTGTTTGTGTTGCTCCATTTGTCGAGTTTGTAGACTGCTAAGTGGACCTTTGGGTTGGATGCCAGGGAATTGAGCGTTTGCACAAGGGTGTGACGAGGGAAACTACAAATGTCTTCTCTCTCCGTTGGCCTAAAAATGATCGTATAGAATGTTATTTTCTTGAGTTCTCTAAAGTTCGAGGCTTTTACTCTCAAAAGTTTGTGTTGTCAGCCAGGTGCTCTGCGCCATTGGGGGCTGGCAAAATTGTTGTCATCGGCGTCAGTTGTGCGCGCCATCCATTCAGCTTGTAGATCAACAGCTGAGCGGAGCAGGCGTTCTTCAGGGGATGGGAAGTGCTTCCTTTTGACTTCTGTCAAAGTAATTGCGTCCTCGTGTGCTGTCATACCAGGAATGCTTTCATCAGCTAAATGCCAAGTGGAACCACCGGCGTCATCATGGTTTGTGCACTAAGGCGTTGTCATGTTGGCGAGAGAAGCTGTAGGTCCTCAGGTTCTTCCTTGTACGGTTATTGCACTCCGATTACAACCTGAGACGTAGAAGGCGGAAAAAATGCCGAAAAAGTTGATGCTTGCTTTACTCGACGTCGGAGAAATCTGTCGTCAGCTGTTAAAAATTTGGCATAGATGAAAGGCTTGGTTCCGCTGTGGGAGGCACAGATGTCGGAGCCCAGCCTGGACACATCCCACCACCACCGGCACACCACCTCTATTTCGCATGAGGATAAAAAATAAAAGCACAAAGGCAGAAAGTAAAAAAACCCACCGTGACTTGACACGTAGCGGCATTGCACACGAGAATAAAAAGTGAAAGCGCAACAGGAAGTCTTTGTCCATTGTGACTTTGCATGTAGCGGCATTGCACACGAAGATAAAAAAATGGCAGCACAACAACGGGAAGTCCTTGTCCACTATGACTTGGCATGTAGCGGCATTGCACACGAGGATAAAAAAAATAATGAAAGCACGTCAGAAAGTCTGTTCACCGTGACTTGACATGTAATGGCATTGCACACGAGCATAAAAAAATTACAGCACAACAACACAGTCTGTCCAGTGTGACTTGGCACGTAGCAGCAGTGAACACGAAGATAAAAATTAAAGCAGAGGGACAGCTCTCTGTTCACCGTGACTTGACACATAGTGGCAATGCACATGAGGATAAAAAAAATAAAGCACAATGGCAGGACGTCTACCCACCGCGACTTGACATGTAGCGGTATTTCACAGGCGATTAAAAAAAATTGAGAGCACGGCGGAGTGTGTTCAAGAGGATAAAAAAATGACAGCACAACAAGGGGCAGTCTTTGTCCACTGTGACTTGGCACGTAGCGGCATTGCACACAAGGATAAAAAATTAAAGCATGTCGGGAAGTCTGTCCACCGTAAGCTGGCACGTAGCAGCATTGCACAAGAGGATAAAAAAAATAAAGCACAATGGCAGGACGTCTACCCACCGCGACTTGACATGTAGCGGTATTTCACAGGCGATTAAAAAAAATTGAGAGCACGGCGGAGTGTGTTCACGAGGATAAAAAAATGACAGCACAACAAGGGGCAGTCTTTGTCCACTGTGACTTGGCACGTAGCGGCATTGCACACAAGGATAAAAAATTAAAGCATGTCGGGAAGTCTGTCCACCGTAAGCTGGCACGTAGCAGCATTGCACAAGAGGATAAAAAAAATAAAGCACAATGGCAGGACGTCTACCCACCGCGACTTGACATGTAGCGGTATTTCACAGGCGATTAAAAAAAATTGAGAGCACGGCGGAGTGTGTTCACGAGGATAAAAAAATGACAGCACAACAAGGGGCAGTCTTTGTCCACTGTGACTTGGCACGTAGCGGCATTGCACACAAGGATAAAAAATTAAAGCATGTCGGGAAGTCTGTCCACCGTAAGCTGGCACATAGCAGCATTGCACATGAAGATAAAAAAAATAAAGCACAATGGCAGGACGTCTACCCACCGCGACTTGACATGTAGCGGTATTTCACAGGCGATTAAAAAAAATTGAGAGCACGGCGGAGTGTGTTCACGAGGATAAAAAAATGACAGCACAACAAGGGGCAGTCTTTGTCCACTGTGACTTGGCATGTAGCGGCATTGCACACAAGGATAAAAAATTAAAGCATGTCGGGAAGTCTGTCCACCGTAAGCTGGCACATAGCAGCATTGCACATGAGGATAAAAAAAATAAAGCACAATGGCAGGACGTCTACCCACCGCGACTTGACGCGTAGCGGTATTTCACAGGCGATTAAAAAAAATTGAGAGCACGGCGGAGTGTTCACGAGGATAAAAAAATGACAAAAAAATGACAGCACAACAAGGGGCAGTCTTTGTCCACTGTGACTTGGCACGTAGCGGCATTGCACACAAGGATAAAAAATTAAAGCATGTCGGGAAGTCTGTCCACCGTAAGCTGGCACATAGCAGCATTGCACATGAGGATAAAAAAAATAAAGCACAATGGCAGGACGTCTACCCACCGCGACTTGACATGTAGCGGTATTTCACAGGCGATTAAAAAAAATTGAGAGCACGGCGGAGTGTGTTCACGAGGATAAAAAAATGACAGCACAACAAGGGGCAGTCTTTGTCCACTGTGACTTGGCACGTAGCGGCATTGCACACAAGGATAAAAAATTAAAGCATGTTGGGAAGTCTGTCCACCGTAAGCTGGCACATAGCAGCATTGCACATGAGGATAAAAAAAATAAAGCACAATGGCAGGACGTCTACCCACCGCGACTTGACGCGTAGCGGTATTTCACAGGCGATTAAAAAAAATTGAGAGCACGGCGGAGTGTTCACGAGGATAAAAAAATGACAGCACAACAAGGGGCAGTCTTTGTCCACTGTGACTTGGCACGTAGCGGCATTGCACACAAGGATAAAAAATTAAAGCATGTCGGGAAGTCTGTCCACCGTAAGCTGGCACATAGCAGCATTGCACATGATGATAAAAAAAATAAAGCACAATGGCAGGACGTCTACCCACCGCGACTTGACATGTAGCGGTATTTCACAGGCGATTAAAAAAAATTGAGAGCACGGCGGAGTGTGTTCACGAGGATAAAAAAATGACAGCACAACAAGGGGCAGTCTTTGTCCACTGTGACTTGGCACGTAGCGGCATTGCACACAAGGATAAAAAATTAAAGCATGTCGGGAAGTCTGTCCACCGTAAGCTGGCACATAGCAGCATTGCACATGAGGATAAAAAAAATAAAGCACAATGGCAGGACGTCTACCCACCGCGACTTGACGCGTAGCGGCATTCCACGCAAGGATAAAAATTGAGAGCATGTCGGGGAGTCTGTCCACCGTGACTTCACATGTAACAGCATTGCATGCGAGGATAAAAAACAAAAGCACAACACAACGTCTATCCACTGTCATTTGGCTCGTAGCAGCATTGCACATGAAAAGAAAAAATGTGTCCACCGTGAGTTCTGTGCAGGCAGCTTATGCACTGAACAGACGCAAGTAAAAAAAAAAAAGTTGAATGATTCGGAACTTTGGGCAGTCCCTAAGATTTAGTGACCTATGCCGTGTGACTTGGCATTGGGCAAGTCCTTCTTCATGTTGGTGCTGAAGCTATGCTCCTTCTTGGCCCTCTTGGCAGGGAGCCCCTTCGAAGGGCGGCCAGCAGGCACTCGCTTGTTGCCTCGGGTGATGCCTGGGCGGCGCCTGGCGATGGCCGTCGGTTGCACCTTGATGGTGCCTCCTTGCCTCTTTCTCCCAGCGTACACCGCTTTTGTGGCTATGATGCAGGCCATCATCTCGGGCTCTCGCTGTACCTTCCTCATCCCCGTGAGGATCTGCCGCAGCTGCTGTGCGTACGCAGGATTTTCAACAAGAGTAGCATGCTGTCGCCACTGCTCCTGCTGGATCTGGTGTAGGAGCTCGTCTACTTCCTGGAAGTACAAGTTTATTGTTAAACAAGTCTTAAGCCTGGTTCAGACAGTTGCCTTTGACTGCATTGTGGCAGTGAGAAACCAGGGCATTTCTGCTACTTATGTCGCGTGCCAAGACGATTTCTTGAATTGGAGTCCACGCTTCATATCAAGCACAGATGTGCCGTGACACTTTCTCGGTTCTCGGCGCAACGCAGTCAAACGCACTCAAACACAAGTGTCTGAACCGGCCTTTAGGTATGTTCAATAGTTGCCTGCATTATTTTCTTTTTTTTGCTGGTTATTTTTATTACAAGGCTTCTTATAATGGTGAATGCTTTGCTGCAGAACCTGTTAACCTGTTACGATGCAATGTTGCCTCCGTAAATCAGGTTTATACTTGGGGACATGGGTTTTCAGGCATTTATAAGATTCTAAAAGTTCTATCTTACATTTGTCCCCCTTACAGCTGAGGAATATATTGTAATATCCTGAGAGATGTCCTACTGCCAAAAGATAATTCACCCTTATTTTGACATGATTTCCCAGTTTTTCTTAAAAAACACCGAAAGATAGCCCACTTTTAGTAATTACACTGCCCTGATCAATGGTGGCCTTGACAGGAATGGCATTCCTTTGCCATGATCAAGGTAAGCGAACAGTGCTGACTGAGAAGAACAGTCATCTTTGTCGTATTGCCCCTCTCTGCAATCTCAAGTTTCGCAGGTCACAGATTCTAAAACCAGTATTTTTGTTTTCAACTTTTTTTTTTACTGCACACGGCAACTTAAATTATTCTTTATTTTGACCCTATTTGCTTTTGATTTTTAGGTAAGCTATCTCTCAGGGTATTACAATAGATAAAAAGTGCAAATTTTGTAAACAATTATTTCTAGAGATGTTTCGCAACTTTCGGACCTGCATGCCTCGTTAAGCAAGTTATTCTGATGCGAACCTGATGTTGCTGACAGTTGCGAAGCGAGTCGTCGTTTGCAGCCTGGGGCTCGGAGTCCAGAGGAGGGCTGCCGTTTCGCTCCGATGGTTGTGCAACCCCGTCAATGGCAGCACTGGTGGATGGGTTCATGGCGGCACTTGTAAAGGGTTCCATGGCGGCGCTGGTGGATGGCCCCTGAAAGTCTTCAAAGAAGGACTCCGCCGGGCATTTTTCTCCCAAAGCGAGAAGTCCCAGCTGGTGCCGGTCGTGGGGTGCGAGCACTGGAGCGTTGGGAAATGGGCCCCCGTAGTGGTGGTGAACCAGGGCCTGATGTTTACAGAAGGCACCCTGCTGTCCAGCTGCACAAGTACAGGTTCCGATGTCGCAGCAGACGTCGTACACCTTGCCGTCCTCTTGCCCACTGGGGACTTGGTACATGCTGCTGTCTAGTCGGATGATAGAATCAGCAGTAGAGGCAGGCATCCGTCTCAGCAGGTGGTCATACTGCAACTGGTGGGCTGGCCTGCGATTGTGCGCATGCGAGAGGAGTCTTCTCTTGAAGTAGTCCTCCCACACCGAGGCGATGAAGTCCACCAGGGCGACCACGTTGTAGGCCTTGCGTCTGTGGAGCACGATGTCCTTGAGAATCCGAATGGATGCTTCCGCAAAGTTGTTAGTGTTGTGGCCCCTCGTGGTGAGGCCAGAACGGAAGAGAAGCACCCACTCGGATTTCCGCTCCAAGAATGCCATCACACGCTTGATGTAGCCCTGGTGGGATCTTCCCTGGAGCCCCTTAACGGCGGCTTCCATCTCGTCCACGGTTGCTGCATACATGATCTGAAGTGTGCCAAATGAGTTAAACAGCTGTAAAATTAGGAAGCCAGTTGAAAGAGGAGCAGGCAAACATAAAGCGGGAAAGAAAATAGAATATTTCTGAAACTAGGATTTCATAACACAGTTTAAGACCTGCCTACCTTTTTAAAGCCTTCCTTAGGATCTTGAGGCCGATTAGAGGTGTGTTTCTGGCCATTAATTTTTTTCATCAAGTTTGGTAGGAAAAATGGCATTACATGACCTGATGCAGTGGTGGAACCGCTGCACCATTTGCGCCAAACTGCACCAGAACGAACAATGTGCTACTTGCTGCTCCGAAGGCTGTATTTGTGCAAACTTTGCATCATTATCTAAACCAAAAGGAAGCTGTTCTTGGAAAAGAAACTGTCTGGCATGTAGCATTGTTGGCAATGCCATTAAAAATTACGGAAGTACAACTTTTTTTTTTTTTCTACATGCCTATGTACTATGTGTGAGGACTAGGGTCATGCAGATATTCGAATTTTCGGATAGAATTTCAATATGCTATTTGATATTCTCTTCAAAATTAACTGCAGTATTCATAGTTTTCGAAGTGTTCATCAGAGCGGGTTAGCCCCCTTGAGTGCGCTTCGGAGAACCAATACCCACAAAGCTGACACCACGATCTCATGACTCGCTTCGCCTCAGCGAAGCCGCGCGCTTATGCGAAGAACACATCTTCAAAGTGCTCTGGTGCGTGGGAGCGTCTGGTACATTAAAAAGAAGAAAAAAAAAAAAAAAGGGAAATGTTGTGATTGTTGATATTTACATATCAGCAAAATCTTCCGAATTCAACTGTGGCTATTGAGTATATGTTAGGCAGCGACGTTCTAACAACCTCTGTTCATTATGTGTGCTTGTTTCTTTTTTAACTTTTAATTCAAAATTGAAAATAACATTTCAATATAGCAAGAAGATTTATAAATCCCCTCAATTAGGTATGGTGGGGCTTCTTTATAGGCTTAATTTTATGTAATATCTCTGATACTTACCATCCCAATGTATGTATTGGACCTTCTGAGGCCGCAGCCTATGACTATAGCTAGATTAAATTTAACGGAGCTCATAATTGGGCAATTGGAAGTTTGGGAACAGCCTTTGCAAGTTCAGCTAAATTTTTGTTTCAATATGTCGTAACAGTAGTGAAAGGTGCAGCAATTGTTCAATATGGAATTAAAAAATATTTGGCCAAAACCACTATTCAGTTTAAATTAGCTTCGAACGCGATATCCATTATATACACATGCCTAACGAAGAGTTATGGCTTTTTGTGCAAACGGTGCTCACATTGATCGTATAAATTGCTAGCACTATTCATCGTGGTCGGTTCGAGTTCATAGAGCACCTAAGCTCCACTCAGCTGCTCTGTGAACAGTAAGCAGTGTGATACAAACCATACGAAGTAGCCAAACACATACTTTTTATTTCAAACACAGACATCTGCAAAATTACCACCATATGATCGTTCAATAAATAAATAAATATCTGTAGTGGCCAGGTCCCCTGTAGGTATGACACTTTAAATAGCCTTTCAGTACTCCAACAACTGCAGTTTTTTGCACAGGCTAACTTCGAAAGAGATTTTATAAAATTTTTTGACATAAAAGCTGAAAATTGTCTGCTCCAAAAGTGGAAATCTGTGCTCCAATACCAGTGTTTCCCTGCTACAAGGGCTGCGCCAATTCACCACTTGTCAGTTCCACCACTGCTGTCATGTTAGAGAGTTTACCGATTAAATTTAGCTTGAAAATTGACTCAGAATTAATTGGGGGGCTAGTTGGTTGAACATCTAGACGGTGGTTTTGAAAGCGCAAAAGACTGAGAAGAGAAGGAGGGGACTGTCCTGTCCCCTCCTTCTCTTCTCAGTCTTTTGCGCTTTCAAAACCACCGTCTAGTTGAAAATTGACACGTGACCGGTCACGGCTCTTTCAATTATGTGTACAGCCAATCGCTTCATTAGACAATACCATACCGTAAAATACCGAGGAAGCGCCCATACCCGTACAAGCGCCCACTTTTAACATTTTTGAAATTCGAAAATTTGGGCAAGTACACATCAAGCGCCCTAATAAGCGCCCATAGTTGGCTTTACGCGTATTTCGATAAAATGGGGGTGGGCGTTTCTCCGGTATTTTATGGTAGTTGGTTCTGTCCTAGCTTTTTTTTAAACTGCAGGTACCTAACAGTCTATTCAGTTGTTTGCTATATGATGCTGATATTACAATAATGTTACCAAACAACCAAGATAAATCAATCAAAGTTAAATTAACCGCAAAATTGAATAACATGTAACTCCATGAAGTTCAGCAAAGTTGCTCGAAGAAATTTCAACCCATCTCTTCACTCGGCGAATGACTCATTTCATGCGAGTGGTTATTTGCATTTTTTTTTGCTATTGGCTTTTTACATTCGATACAATTTGTATTTTAATCTAATCTAGTACTTATGGAGCATTTACCAAGACGATTAATATATATTGTTCGGGGTAGTACTGCCTCTGTCAATTTTGCTCCATGAAGCCTTAATTATTGGTGAAGTGCTTGAAGAAATGCATCTAGTTTAGGGATCTCTCCAGCCATAACGAAAACTTTACACTGCATGCTTAAAGGGGCGGTGCAACGATTTTACGATTAAAACAATTTGCATCTCGTCATTTTTACGTTGTTTATCGTGTCCCGGAGGATAGAGAAAACACTTCCTTCATTAAAAATGTCGCGATTCCGCTGCATAATCGCAAAGCAAAAGTCGAGCTTTTTCCCCCACCTGCAGCCCCAAGTGGCAGCCGAAGGAACTGCGGCGGAAAGATTACGTGACCTCGCTCGGCTCTAAGCTGCAGCATAGCGCCCGCTAATGTACGCAGAGAGAGGGAGGGGAAGCGTCCTCCGAGATAGCACACGGGAAGCTACACGGCACTCCGAATGACGTCACTGGGAGTGCGACCAGGTGTGACCCTGAAGACTGGGAGTGAGTTGAGGGGTGCCTGAAATGCCAATCTTTATCTTTTTTTTACGCAACAACTAGGACACGCAAGCAAAATCGGTTTTCTGTTCTTTACTTCAGAAGTGTCAGGTGGCAACTTCCAGAAATCTTTGACCAAAGTCTGAAAATCGTTGCACCGCCCCTTTAAGCAGCGGCACTTGACAACCACAGTAGTACCCACCTTTTGAAATGCAGACATGAGGTCCCTCCTCTCGTCCCGACCAACCTGGTTAACGGCAGCAAACAGCCAACGCCACTCTGCCTGGGCCACATGGAAGTGGCACAGGAGCTGGATGGCCTCGGGCCAGGTCGTTCGCAGGGCCGCCTTCTCGGCGGAGGCGTTGTCTGTCATAAACGCCTGAGGAGCCTGCAGGTACCACATTAAAGATGACAATGACTGTTAGCATGTGCACCAATGTAACATTGGCATGCTGCAATTTTCAGCTTCTCCAAGGCCGTGTTCCAAAATTTACTTGATCCTGCTCCAAGTAAGGGTATTCTAAAACTTTCCCATGTCCACTGTTTTTTAATTTTCGTTGTCACGTGACAAGACTTGCTGAAGTAACTCTGATTCATTAGGGCAAGGTTGGGAACACAGCCCAAATTGCATCTCTACGAGATATCTTTCTGCCGCTAGAGTTGTGTGCCCAATAACTCCTAGTGAAATGACCTCTCAGACCTTCCCGGCAGTTCTGAACAGGGAATAGTGAAATGGTTTTATGTGGATCGGGCTCTCACCTTAAGTAGTCAAGTCAGCACATGCAAACATTTATTGTAAGAACTTGCTGATGCAGCAAATACCCAACTGATATTTTCAACTATTTTAAAGTGTGTATGACATTCAGCACTCCACAAATGAAACATATATGAATTGGCTCATATTTATAACCAAGAAGTAAATTAGAATATTAAGCGATCTGCTCACTGAAACAAGTGCAAATATGCATTGATTGAACAGGAGATGAATCAAAGTGCAGTGATCCTGCAACTTAGTGTGGGAACTGTATTGCATTCGCCACTTTGTCTAGTTACGAGCATTGTCTGTCTCAATGTTACTTGCATACAGCTTACTTACATGCGCTCCTCCAAAGCAGACCGGATAGGCATCCTTCAGGAGCTGGAAGGCACGAGTGTAGCTCTCGGTTGTCTGGCAGCTGTGCAGTAGCACTGCAAGGGGGATGGCACCAGCCTTGGTGGCAGCTAGGAGCACGGTGGTGGTACTCTGAGTGCCGTCAGTCGACGAGGTGGAGTCGAGGAAGACGATCTCGCTGGCCGCAGCGAGCTGCTGAGTGCGGAGCATGATCTTGGTGACGACCAAGACAGCCCAGCAAGACCCGTCTTCCGACTGCGTGGTCCTGACGTCGACACCTGCAAAAGGTTACCAGCAGCCTTCCTAACATTGTTGATCACCTGAACTAGAAGCTGATGTCCTCGGGTCCTTGGGTGGATACATGACACTCAAGTACCTCGGGGAAGCACAGAACACCGGTCACGTCCAGATCACTATGCTTGTAGGGAAGATGAGCCACGGGCAACTGGGGGTCTCTGCATCCTGAGGTGTGGGAGTTTCACATGCCTCCAGACCATTATCGCTAATTCCTCTTGTGTGCCAGCACCTCTCAAAATCTGTAACCACTATAAGCCCTTCTTCTTACCGCTATAGAATTTGTTCTCTGGCAATTTAGGTGCTACACAGCCCATATTTGTTCACTATTGTGTATGATAACACAGTTGAAATAAAGGTACACTTTTCAAAGTGGTTGGTTTATGGCTTTTCGTATGAGCTTACGATTCTTGCTTGAAATACAGGAAACTTGACAAACTCGTCCATTTCTTTTTGGTATCTCAGTCAAAAAATTCGTTGGAGACACTGAACATTGCTTACGTGTGAAAATGTGAAAGCATGGCACACGCACTAGGCACAGCTTTAGTCAGCTGGAACCATGGAGCCGTTGTGTTTGGGTAAGCGTGCTTGTCTCGCACCCCGGAGGCCCGGGTTCAATTCCACCCAGACCAAAATGTACGAAATTTTCTTTTCAAAGCCATTCATTTAGTTCGTTAAAGTGCCGTTTTTCACTGTTGCAGACAAAATTCACGTGCTGTTCTACTCAGCCATTGAGAACTTAGGTGCTGCTTATCGCTGCTACGGACAACGATAATGCCGGCAACGCAGTCAGATGACGCCAGTTCGTTCTATAGTACAGTTAATGCTTTCGCATTAATACGGCTCGGTTGTGTTCATGTGCAGTCTTTTGAGGGAGAATCATTATACAATCAAATATGTTGACAAAAGATGTATTATAAACCAAAAAAATGGCAAGCTCAGCCAAAGCAGACTGCAGCTATAGTCGGTGCTCAATAGAAGTGCCATTACTGTAGGTGTTTTTTGTCTTCTGCCAGGCTTTAGTTGTGTGTGCACCAAAGTGTTACCAAGGGCAGAAAGCTCGCCTTGGAGGTTGTGGACACCCCTCGCAGCGGAACGGCTAGGTACCGATCAGGTTGCAAGGACATGAATCGTTGTCGGCTGTCCCCCACCAGGGGTAAAGTATGAACGGCCACAGTAACAGCGCTCCGTCAGGCATGAAAGGCACGCGAATGTTTGTGTGGGGTACCATTTGTGAGCAGTGCACGACGGGGCCGGACAAACAAATTAGTATGCTTTGTTGTGCCACCTCACTGTCATACTCCTCGACAGGCAGCAGCAAGGAAACATAAGTTGGAGCATGCACTGCATTTTGAACATTTTACTGACCGTGCTAATAAGGGATTTATGCAACATATAAGTTGGTGACTCAAAAAGATCCCTATCTATTCAATGACAATCAAATGGAGGTGGTGAGTGACATACCGTGCTGTAGATACATCGCCGCCTTTTCACCGAGTTTTTTGATGGGGTCCACAGGTTCACCATAGTGCTCGACCCGCCAAGTTGAGTACCAATGGTACACTGTGCGTGCACTGGGGTTCTCAGCACCGCTGGCCAGGTGCTCCATGGTTGCAGTAGTAGCTGCCAGCTTTTCTTGGTGCAGGCACATCGCCTCTGCCGGGGTGAGCCCGTCCTGAAACCAAATCATCCTCAGGCTGAGTGGGATCTGGGACAGGTGCATTTTAATTTCCCTGGGCAACCTGAGTTTTGAGACGAGGGTTAACGTCTTGAATAAAACAGGCTATCTGCCCCAATGGGCAGATGAAAGGAGATTTTGCAAAACCAATTCGGGGATGAGGGAGAGATTAGCCTACCTTGAAGTACTCGTAAAAGAGTGCTCGGGTGTCCGCCGTGCTCTTCAGTAGCCGCAGTCCGTCGGCACAGTGAAGGTTGTGGTTGTGATCCTCCCTAAGCTTGATCACCGCTGCCAGCGGGACTGCCTTCTTTAGGAAGGCATCATTCTTCTTGGTGTTCTTGTTAATTTTTTTTATTTTGATGTCCACGAAAGCTGGGCAGTTGGTGGCATGGTGACCAGCTGTCTTGTTAACACTGCTGTGCTGACAGCGCCACTTTTGGTGGAACACCATCCTGTTGAGAAATTATATTAAGTGTATGAGGTTAATCTATAGCTTTATCAATAATGTGCTTAGTTTTGCCACATTAATTATGGGAAGGGTTAATTGCCAGAATTTTCATAGCTACCTGAATCTTGTCTATAATAGCACAGATCAAAATTGGTTCTTCCCTTTCTTAGGGTATGAAATGATTTCATTTCAATTCTATATTTTTCTTTAAACCGTGATGTTTGAACATTGTACACTGTACCATACCAACCTTATCTGCTATAGCAAGTAGAATGAAATAAATAGTAAACATTTTTTGGACGTGGGCTTTTTTTTTTTTTTTTTTATTGTTGAGAAGCACTGCGGAGGAGTTGTGGGGTTCGATATGTAAAGTGGAAACAAAGCAATTATTTCCTTGTAATAACCTGCAAATGGCCTAAAACAAATTTATGTTTCGAAATCGTGCATTTAAAATGTGAAAGGTCAGCGTCAGTATCAAATGTTTTCAATGATTTTCTATGTCCTTCGAAATTTAAGCGCAGTAAATATTCCGCCACAGTTTTGCTTCTATGCAAGTATGATAAATACACCGCAAACGACCTAATTTCAGTGTCGCAAGGGATGTGCCCGCGAAATATTCCTGCACCCACAATAGGAAATGTCGTGAGTAATATAGCATGTCAGCTAGGTTGAATGGCTCTAGGTCAATCATTCGATAATCGGATGTAAATACCGTTGCGGGTCGGGAATTCTCCAGTCGAAGATCCATGAAGTGTTGGTCGCTTTACCGTAGCTGGTGACCCATTCATATGCGTCCCCATCGCTTGTTAAATTCGCGCGAAGAATAGTTACGTTGTTTTCACAGCTTTCCAACTCGCACCGGAAAAGTTCGGCCATTTTTAATAAAAAGGACACGAACAAAAGAACGGCACATCTACCTATCAACCTGGATGACCGTTAGAGCATTGCTCCAGTTACAGCAACTGTGGTTACAGCCACTGTGGTTACAGCCTCGTGCCTTGCTCCTGCACCCTCCAAATTGGAATGAAATGTGTAAATGCTAATACATAATTTTTTTTATAGTTGCATTCCTTTGTTTTTTTTTATTTGAATCACGCCTTTGTGTTTTATTAACTTTCTCTATGGGCCTAGACCACGGCCTACACTCAGTTGTCTGCTGCTGCCGTCTGCTACTTCTCTAGAGGGGGTATAGTCACTGCCAAGAAGAGCCTTAGCCTGCCGTCACGTGACTGCGAAGGCGGCGGCTGTTCCCGACGGTGGCCAGCACACACCATCAAATCAAGGCGCAGATAGCGCAAATTATAAGCACATATGTAATAACTCTGTGATTATAAGTATCAACAGCATTAACAGAGCTTCAAAAGTACAAGAAAGCGATTTAAAACAAAAGAAAGGCACGTATTCGTCGGCAAAATTTACATATCTGTACTTTAAAAATTCGCAGGTGCAGGAAGCCTGAGCCAACGTTAGCCTGAGCCGCCTGACGCGTTCGTTACTTGTTCGGTTTGTTGTCAATGGTGTGTGAGGTGTAGTGGTTGTAGCTTGTAGTGCCGTAGGGTATTGAAGTTGTGCTGGAGCTACAACCGACGATGACCTACCTCAGACACGTTCAGCGTGCACAAAAAAGGTATCTTTTGCACGCTGGAAATTACTCGGTGCTCGTCTAGTGAGCACAAGTGATTGGAAGCCTTCCAGAGGTGCCTTCGCGTGCCGCCTGTACGTACGCGTACGTGCTCGAGGTTGTTCAGTGTTGGCTTAAGTTTGCCTGCTATGACAAAGCTTCCCATATGGCCTGACCTTCGCCTGGGGTCTTCCCAATCCGCAATGGTATTTACATCCGACTCCACTTCGTGTTTTCTTGGTATCTTCCGTTAGTTCGCAGCATTCATCCCCAATCGTTCACTTTAGAAATAAGTCGTATTTGTTTTGCTGGGATACTGATTCGCAGTGTGCGTTTCAACAGTGTTTCGCGGGCACAAAATTTCGTGATCGGGGATGGTATGTATTTTTTACCATAAAATGATGAATTCGTGTAATCATATTTTTTGTGATGCTTTTCAAAGCTTCAATATATAGCCATTCACCGTTCGCCCTCTATTGATCGACAAGGAACTCGTAGGGTTGTTCGTTTTCGGGTAAAGCCCGATTTTACCCGATTTTTACACCTCAAGCATATTTCAGGAGAATCGGGTTAAACCCGATTCCTCCCCGAATTCCTAAACCACATAACCAACCTATTTATTTTTGCGCCGCACGGAGTTTGCGGTGCGCACACGCTAGCTGCCCTACCTCGGGACAACAGTGACCGATAGTTCGTTTCGCAATCTGCGTGCACCACTGTGGACGCTATGCGACTCTCAGGCAACCGCCCAACGAGGGTGCCTAACTCACCCTGACATTCTGCGTGGAGGCCGGCTGAGGAAAAGCGACAATAGGCGTTGGGGCCTCAGAGGGACATTTCCGCCCCCCCGCTGTGCAGGTGGAACCGCCTCGGCACGCCACGTAGCTTCGGCCCTGCTGCACGCAGCTTGTGAAATGCACTATCAATCCCCCTTAGACTGCTGAGGTGTTGACGCACAGCAGAGTCTCTTGGGTAGCATGGCCATCTTGCTGGCGTCCAACCTTTCTCATGAACAACGCCTGAGCCAGTCAGTCGCGTAAACAGATTGGGAAAACTTAACAGGTTTATTCCATAGCGAAATATCTGATCGAAGACGACCGTCCCTCGAATGGTCGGGGTTTTCGTTGACACCTGAGGGAGAGGAGGACCCCGTTAGTGGTGCTTCCATTGAAGCGACTGACGGCAATCATAGCTGGAAAACCCTGATGTCCCCTCGATTACCGGCTTGAAACAGACCCTTACGGAGCTCGTAAAACGCTCCAAAAGAGAAAAAGACACTAATATATTCCCGAGCACCTTTCTAAACTTAACCCGAAAAAACCCGAATTTTGGAATGTTTCCACAAAAACCCCGATTTCTCCCCGATTATCAGCTTGAAAAATAGCACCTGATTTTTACCCCCCGAATTTAAAAAGAAATATAAAACCCGAAACCGAACAACCCTATGTATAGGCTACGGGTAGCATTGGCCCTTGTACGTCTTTCCTCCGTAATAGACATAAAATTGGCGCAACGTTTGGTAAAGCCATTTTGTGAATAAATCACGGAAGTGTTAAAAAAAAAAGCCCTTAAAATGCCACAAAACGACGAAAGTATGGTGCAACTCGTGCGGAAGTGAGTGAATATTTTTCATAGTCGCCTAGAGACGCCAGTATCAATATTTAGCTTTCAATATTTTAATGGAAAAAGAAAATTATTATATATCTTCATTCTTCGCATGACGCCTAAGGGTGCATTGCTCGTGTCCACTCCACCTGTATTATCATGCACAATAGTGAAGAAATATGGATTGTGAAGCACCTCAATTGCCAGAGAACATACTCTGTGGTGGTAACATGAAGGGGTTAGAGCGGTCAGGTTTTTTGAACATGCTGGCACACAGGAGGAATGAACGACAATGGTTTGGAGGCACAGGGAACTCCCATACCTTGGGACGCAGAGAACCGCAGTTGTCCGCGACTCTTTCCTACGAGTAGTGATTCGGACTTGACCAGTGTTCTGTGCTTCCCCCAGGTACGTGAGTGTCATGTACCCTACCCATACCCCCCCCCCCCCAGGACATCAGCTTCTAGTTCAGGTGATCAGCGATGTTAGCAAGTATGTTGGTAACCATTTGCAGGTGTTGACGTCAGGACAACACAGTCGGAAGACGTGTCTTGCTGGGCATTCTTGGTCGTCACCAGGATCGTGCTCCGCACCCAGCAGCTGGCTGCGAGCAGCAAGATCGTCTTCCTGGACTCCACCTCGTCGACTGACGGCATTCGGAGCACCACCATCATGCTAATAGTTCACACCATGCTGGTGCCAGCCCTCTTGCAGTGCTACTGCGCAACTGCCAGATGACGGAGAGCTTCCGGAGTCTTCCAACTCCCGAAGGATGCCTATCTGGTCTGCTTTGGAGGAGCGCATGTGAGTAAGCTGTATGCAAGTAACACCGAGACAGACTACGCTCATAACTAGACAGAAAGTGGCAATTGCAATACAGTTCCCACACTAAGTTGCAAGATCATTGCAATTCGAGTTATCTTCTGTTCAACCCATGCATATTTGCACTTGTTTCAGTGAGCAGATTGCCCAATATTCTCATTTACTTCTGAGTTTCGAATATGAGCAAATCCATTTGTTTCATCTGTGGATTGCTGAATGTTGTGCACACTTTCACATGGTTAAAAATATTAGTTGGGAATTTGCTACATCAGCAAAATTCCACAATAAATATTTGCATTTGCTGACTTGACAACTTAGAAGTGAGAGCCTGTCTTACATAGGACCCTTTAAATATTATTTCTTCAAAAAAGTCTGGAAGTTATGAGAGGTCATGTTGCTATTTGGAGAAGCCAAAAATTGCAGCATGCTCATGTTACATTGCTGTACATGCCATTAGAGATTCTCACTCTTAATGTGGCACTTGCAGGCCCCTCAGGCGTTCATGACCGATAATGTGTCCGCTGAGTAGGCAGCCCTGCGAACAACCTGGCCTGAGGCCGTCCAGCCGTGTGCCACTTCCATGTGGCTCAGGCAGAGTGGCACTGTGCATTTGCTGCCACAAACCAGGTTGGTGGGGACACGATGCCGCTACGTGTCCAGTCACGGTGGGCAGAGGGTTCCTGCCATTTTGCTTTTATTTTTTATCCTCATGTGCAATGCTCCTACATGTCAAGTCACGGTGGACAGAGACTTTGTGTCATTGTGCTTTAGTTTTTTTTTTATCCTTGTGTGCAATGCCGCTACATGTCTAGTCACGGCGGGCAGACTTCTGCCCTGCCGTTTTGCTTTCATTTTTTATCCTTGTGTGCAACGCTGCTACGTGTGAAGTCAGAATGGACAGCCTTTCTGCCGTTGGGCTTTTATTTTTCATCCTTGCCTACAGTGTGGTCGCCCTGGTGCAAGGATTACTTTCAAAGAAGGCTCCTCTCGAATTCACAAAGTTGTAGCCCAGCCCACCAGCTGAGACAGATGCCTGCCTCCAGGGCCGTACCCAGAAAAAAATTTTGGGGGGGGGGGGGGGGGTTTTGGGGTCAACGGTGGCCATTTTGAAAGTGTCTATTGTCTTATTTTCGCCTATGAATCATGTGCATCGGTAGCATATAATGGAGAGTTACAGCAAACCGGAGAACCGGTCCCGGTTTGGTACCCGGTAGCCGACTGGCGCCACTGCGCGTGCGCAGAGGCGGAGATTAAAATCAGCTGGCTGCAAGTGCACCGACCAGGGCCGTACCCAGAAAAAAATTTCGGGGGGGGTCAGAACCCCCTAACCCCCCCCCTGGTTACGGCCCTGCCTGCCTCTACTGCTGAGTACATCATTCCACTGCAGGACAACATGTATGACATCTGCCGTAACATTGGGACGTGTAGCTGGACAGCAGGACGCCATCTGTAGTCGGCTGGCGCTGGTCCACTACCACTACAGAGAAGCATTTTCTAATGTTCCTGTGCTTGCACCAAACTGCTTACGTTAAGAGGCCGTGTCGTGTCATGAAGACTTCCTGTGGTCATCGCAGCAGCCGTCTACCAGTGCTGAAATTGTCCAAGGAGCCGCACCACTATCGGAGGCAACAAACAGCCTTTTGGTGTTGGGAGTTCCTAACTTTTCGCTATAATTTAGGGAGAAAAATAATTCTCATCATTAAGAAAGACTAAGCCATTTGAAGGAAAAAGCTAGTCACGCTATTATTGACAGAGACAGTACACAGAAAGACGCCTGGAGAAAAAGGACAGAAATAAGACATGCATCAGGAAACGAATATAGGTGTTTGGTTGTCAATTAGGAGAAGAAAGGGTGAAATTGAGCTTATCAGTTTTGTTTCACTGAGGGAAGCGAAAGTTCAGTCTTGCCATGTGTCGAGGTGCAGTGCAATGCAGGCACCGGTTGAAAGCTCGCAGCTGTGAGATTCGCTACTTTTGGTTTTATACTGTTGAATTTCTTGAGTTGGTGCATCCCACAACGTTTACATGCCACTCTCATGTGGAAGCCAGAGTTGAAAGGATGTAGAAGGGTTCGATTGGCGTATTGCTGTGTCCTGGTCTGGTGGCCCGACTTGAGTGCCCTATCGCCTTCCACGATCCAACGGTGCTCCACATGCCCGCTGTTCTATCCTCCCTTTTCCTTGCCGCGTCTCGTGCCCCTGCGCGCTCATGGAGACACACAGACAGACAGGGAAGAACAGGGCTATCTGGACCCCTGAACGACAAACAGCTCAAGATGTTTTCCGGCCCTGAATTAAGGGGACTGAACCTTTAAAAAGAGTTTCTGCTCAGGAGAGACGCCACCGACACTTGCGTAGCCGCTGTGCTTCTACAAGACCACGACAGGCTTCTTCACCCAGTATGTTACACTAGCCGACAACTTTCTTGTCCGCGTGTCGTTGTGCACTATTTAAATGCTGTAAAACCCTTTTTTCATGGCCCCTATTTTTCGCGAATCCGTCAAAGAGGACTAGTTGCAGCCACTAAATTTTGCAAATTCAAGACGCCTGCATTGAAACTTAATTGCGCAAATTTTTCAGTTTGCGAAGTTTAGGAGCTCTTGAACATGAGGGTTTTACAGTACTATGGAGGTGTCCAATTTTGCCGCAAACTAGCCTTCTTTCTTTTTTTGCTCAGTCTCTGTGGTTCTGGATAGTTGTCTTGTTTACTTTTCTGCAGGTGCCTCATCGTGTGTGTCACTGTTTATTTGGCAATAAATTTCATGTACATTTTGAAGAAGTGGGCGCTCTAGCTTTAATCAGTTTACCTGCACCGGTGTAGGGCGGTGTGCTTCAGGTCGTACCTGGACAAGGATAACCCACAAACTGTTTCCCCGACGTTGAAAGAAGCTTTTATTTATTATTTTCTCTCTAAACTTCAAATTTTAACATGTAACTCGGACCAATAGAAGACGTATTTGAAGAAATGCGTATTACTGAGCGTCTGCGCTGGCCCAAGCAAACATCGGTGCGGCCCCACTACTCCTTGCATTGCAACATGGAATTGTCAAGGGGCAATGTGGGATTTTTCAGAAAGGTCTATTGGCCGAGTCGGAAAGTGCTGATGTCAATGAATCGCTTTCCACATGTAAATTAAGGGGCATGCCATAGAAACTTTTTCAAAACAACACTGGGTACCAAGCATAGTCAATGTGCATGTTGAATTAACATCAATATTTGACGCTGCCTGTAAGCTTTCGAAAAATCGGCGCATGACTCGCCAACTATTGAGTGCAGAGCTTTTAATGCTTACTGCATCAGATAGACCTGGTGAAAACCCTCAGGCCTGTTCAAAAATATTCAGCACTATTTATGTCCACAAATAGGAAACAAACTACTACGGAGCTGTCATTGTTTTTATTGACATTTTCAATTTCATCTGAATCATTGTCATGTACCACAGTTTCACTGCTCAGTATTGGCTGTTAGTGGCGATACCCTTGTAACAGGTGTGCAGCAGACCCAACTCTGATGTTCTGAGTGTGGGTGCGTGGATACTGACATTCCAGCCCGAATGGAATCGAGCCAGAAAGTGACGACAAAGTCAAATGATAAATTGGATATAGAACACCAAAATTTTTATTTGAAATGCACAGAAACGAAACAACTGCCTAGCAAAAGAAAACACCTGCACGGCGTATTTTGCATAGAGCGGCCAATGCAAACAAAAAGCGCTGACGACAAGTTGGCAACGACAAACTTGAGACAGCTAAAGAGTGTGTTCACTTATCCATGCTGCAGGTGTGGATACCCAGCATCTGCAGCGTGCTGGACAGATACGGCTGAACCTTTTCAATCGGGTTGCTGTCTTTGCCACCTGTAGTCGCCTGCATGTTCAGAATAGCAGGACAAGCCCCTCCCACAAAGCTATGCGATTGGTGGGTTCCTCCTCTCCAGTGCTCAGTCTGCTAAAAGGGAAAGGGTGGATAGCTTTGTGGAAGGTGCTTGTCCTGCCATTCTTAATGTCGCTCAACATGGCAAAGCATGACATGTTTGTGGATGAAACTGTCATCGCACAGCTAGTGTCCAGACTGAAAACTAATTCACGACTTCCTCTTTTGTTACACCAAAATCTCGTTTGTGTCTTTTCTATGAAATTTATCATTTAGATACTTCTGTAATAACAAACTAATGTTAAATCCAGCTTTCATTTCACCATACGTAAATAATCCATATAAAGTCAGGATTCCTCATTGTGTTACTTAGCCTATTACATCTCATTAATTCCCAGCACTTTCTCAGACTGGAACAACCTTCCTACAGAACTAGTAAACATACCATCCTCCGACGTATTAAAAAATGTGGAGACCACTTATGTGAATATTACGACCTCTCTGATTGGTTTGTTCTATAATTTCACTTGTATACACTTTTCTTTATATTTTGTGCGTTTTTGCTACCTGGCTTATGTTTGTATATTCCTGATTGTATAATATTTTGTTTGTCCCACCCCCCTCTCTAATGCCTTCAAGTCCTAAGTGTGTTACAAAACTTTTCAGGGAAGATTGGTGATGCCTGAATAAAATCCAGCACAAACCTGCGGTATCATGGAATTCTAGGGAGAGTAATCTTAATTAAACACGAATTTTGTTTAACGGCATTTCATGTGTCAATTCGGAAGTCCAATTACAATCCAATTTTAATTGGATAGTGATTATCGAATTGAAATGTTTGCACACCCCCAGTTTTGACGCATTCACATACGTTTGCAGAAGCTCAGGCAATGGTTTTTTCTTAACATATACACAATAAAAGTGTGAAATTAGTCACCCTTTAAATTTGGGTTTCTTAAAAATGCAAATTAGGCATTCGAAGCCAGCACGCACGCTTAGTCTCCGTCACCAGCACACTCCCATGAATGAAGCAATCGGCGTCTTCCAAAGTGAGTAGCGCTAGCACTTGAGTCTGACCTCCGTTTTCCCATGCACGCAGTCGTCCGCTGCCTAGGTACTCACAAATTAGAAATGTTCTGCACAGGTCATCATTCCTGTTTCTGGGGCGTGTTCCGAAATTTACTCGATCCTACTCCAGGGTAAGGTTTTTTTTTACCTTGGCGTTCTAAAACCTACCCGTGACCAGCGTTTTTTAATCTCTGTTGTCACGTGACACGACCCGCCGGAGTAACTCGGATTCATTTGGAACACAGCCCTGCTCTCTTCGCTTAATAAAAACAAGAATATAATAGTCTGTTCCGTCCGCAGCCCTGTCGAAGGCACACGGGTGCGTGCGTTTAGTACAGTGGGATAGCAGGCTGTGAAGCTACGCGTTGGCGAGCCACAGCTGCGCAGAAAACTCAGTCTAATAGCGTCGTAAAGCCAAAAGCGCGTAGATTTGCATCAAACACTGATAGACTCTGGCTATAATTGCCGAGGGAGGCGAGTGTGAATGCGAAGCGTCGTAGCTTGTACGCGCGTACTAACAGCCAGAATCGCTTTCTCAGGTAGGAAATTGTTCGTGCAACTTATGCACGTGCGAATATTAGGGCGTTCGCTCGCGTCCTTAGACCCCACGGAGGCCAGTCGTCAATCGCGAAAGTCGGAAAGACGTTTGATAATGGCTGGAATCGAGCAGTGGCGATCAGGAAATCGGTTAAACGCAAACAACTAGCTAGCGGCACCGCGCTGTGCTGCGCCAGGGCCGTAACGCGACAAAACATTGGCGTCATCGACGTGTACGCCTGGGCGTGGAGGTGGTGAGGAAAAGTTTATTTGTACACGACACGGTAAATAACTTCGGCGCGTCCCCCCTGCGCGCGCTAGGCCTAAGGCAGCGAGTAGCTATGTGCTCTGCCTAGGTTTGCTGGGAGTATATTGGGCGTGGCGTCTACTGTGAGAACGTCGATCTCACTTCTACATTTTCAGTTTTCTGGATTACACACTCGCGGCGTCGTACCTTTGACTTGACTTCGGCGGGGCCGGCGTGGCGCTGCCCCAGAGCCAGCCAAAGGCCGGTGGCGGCGGTGGCCGTCTGCTCGCGGGCGCGGTGCGGCGGGGGTGAAGGCGGAACAGCCGGGTGCGCGTACCACGTGACTACGCGGGCCAATCAACGGCGGCCTCTCTCCCCCTTTCCTCCTCTCTCTCTCTCTCTTTTTCCCCTCGCGGCTCTGTGTTCTCCGGCAAGTGTATATACGCGGGCAGCGCCACTGTGTTCTCCGGCAAGTGTATATACGCTACCGGGTCTCCCCAAAGGAACGAGAGGCCATTCATGAACAAGTACAGGAGATGCTCAACGACGACATCATTCAGCCTTCGAGCAGCCCGTGGGCCTCTCCAGTCGTGCTTGTGAAGAAGAAAGACGGAACGCTTCGATTCTGCGTTGACTACCGGCGGCTCAACGCGGTCACCAAGAAAGACGTGTATCCGCTCCCCCGCATCGACGACACGCTGGACCGGCTGCGCCACTCCCGATACTTTTCGTCGATGGATCTTAAGAGTGGCTACTGGCAGATCGAAGTCGACGAACGGGACCGAGAAAAGACTGCCTTCGTCACGCCCGACGGACTGTTTGAGTTTAAGGTGATGCCCTTCGGACTGTGCACGGCGCCGGCAACGTTCCAACGTGTCATGGACACCGTCCTGGCAGGCCTCAAGTGGCAGAGCTGTCTCGTTTACCTCGACGACGTCGTGGTATTCTCCGCCAACTTCGACGAGCATTTGCGACGCCTTCGTGCCGTTTTTGAGGCAATCAGGACCGCAGGACTCACCCTCAAGCCGACGAAGTGCCGGTTTGCCTACGGCGAACTGAAGTTCCTGGGCCACGTTGTGAGCAACGAAGGTGTAAGTCCTGACCCTGAGAAAACTCGCGCCGTAGCGGCCTTTTCACCGCCCACCGACAAAAAGGCCGTCCGAAGATTCCTTGGACTTTGCGCATACTACCGGCGATTCGTTCAGGATTTCGCCAAGCTTTCTGCGCCGCTAACGCGCCTTACGAAAAACGCCGTGAACTTCGAATGGGGTGGAGAACAACAACAGGCATTCGACGAACTAAAGCGACGGCTCCAGTCACCACCGATTCTCGGCCACTTCGACCAATCAGCCGAAACGGAGGTCCACACGGACGCCAGTAATACAGGACTCGGAGCGGTACTGGTCCAACGACAAGACGGTGCGGAGCGCGTGATCGCATACGCTAGCCGGACGCTGTCAAACGCGGAAAGCAATTACTCGACGACCGAGAAGGAATGTCTGGCCGTCGTCTGGGCCATCACGAAATTCCGCCCATACCTGTACGGGACTCCTTTTCGGGTGGTCACCGACCACCATTCGCTGTGTTGGTTAGCGAGCCTGAAGGACCCTTCGGGACGCCTCGCTCGGTGGAGCCTACGACTGCAAGAGTACGACGTGACCGTGGTCTACAAGTCAGGCCGAAAACACAGCGACGCCGACTGCCTGTCCAGAGCCCCTGTCGAGTCAGCTACCGGATGTGCCAAAGACGACGACGACGGCGACCACTTTCTTGGCGCGGTGAGCATTCACGGCATGGCAGCGCTCCAGCGGGACGATCCTGAGTTGCGTGCACTGATCGACCACTTGGAGGGACGAGGGGGTACGATTCCCCGAGCCTTCTCGCGTGACCTGCCAAGATTCGCCGTCCGGAGAGGTCTCCTCTATAAAGAGAACTTCGGGGACAACAACTCGACGTGGCTCCTGGTCATTCCTGCTAGTCTTCGAGAAGAGATCTTCCAAGCCTGTCACGACGACCCAACATCTGGTCACCTTGGCTACAGTAGGACTCTTGCACGGATCCGAGAAAAATACTACTGGCCCAAGCTCCCGAAAACTGTCCACCTCTACGTCCGTTCGTGCCACGAATGCCAACGACGCAAGAAACCACCGACGAAGCCGGCAGGTCTCCTGCAACCGATCGCGCCCCCGACTGCACCATTCCAGCAGGTTGGAATGGATCTTCTCGGACCTTTCCCACCGTCGGCGCAGGGAAACCGGTGGATAATCGTGGCAACTGATTATCTCACCAGGTACGCCGAGACAAAAGCACTCCCGTCGGGGACCGCCGTGGAAGTAGCCAAATTCTTCGTGGAGTCTATCGTCCTCCGACACGGCGCTCCCCAAGTCCTGATTACGGACCGAGGATCCTCGTTCATGGCGCAACTGACACAAGAGATACTCCGCCTGAGCCACACCGACCACCGCCGGACCACGGCATACCACCCGCAGACCAACGGGCTGACGGAGCGACTAAACAAGACTATCTCCGACATGATTTCTATGTACGTGGACGTGGAGCACAAGACGTGGGATGAAGTGCTGCCCTACGTCACGTTTGCGTACAACACGGCGATTCAAGAAACTACCGGCGTTACACCCTTTCAGCTGGTGCACGGCAGAAAGGTAACGACGATGCTCGACGCCATGCTGCCCCACGACCCGACGGATGACGGCACTGACGACGCCCAGCTGGTCACCCAACGAGCAGAAGAAGTACGCCAGCTAGCCCGTCTTCGAATTAAGGACCAGCAACGTGTGGACGCTGGCCGGTACAACCTTCGCCGCCGCGACGTGGAGTTCCAGCCCGGAGACAGGGTATGGGTGTGGACGCCCATTCGCCGCCGCGGCCTCAGCGAGAAACTGTTAAAACGCTACTTCGGACCCTACAAGGTCATCCGCCGCCTTGGGGACTTGAACTACGAGGTGCTCCCCGACGGAACTCGCCCATCAGGACGCCGCCAGCCACGACCCGAGGTCGTCCACGTAGTTCGACTCAAGCCGTTCTACGCGCGTTAGGATTGTGACACTGCATGTTTGTTTTGTTTCGCCGTAATTGTTTTAGCCATTTCCGTTTTCCTTTCGTTTTGCATCGGGGCGATGCACTTTTAAAGGGGGGGATAATGCCGCCCGCAGAGCCGAGAAGGCAACGCTTGGTCACTGTCTTCTAGAAGATTCCCGGTCATCCTCGCAGCAGACGTAACTTTCCCTCTGCTTTGTTATTCTCGAAAGTGCCAGTTCATCCTCGCCCCGAGCGCGCGACGCTCGAACCTTCTTTGCCGAACTTTCGAGACAGGGACGCACGGTAGATAAGCAGCTGCCCGCGACCTTGTCGAGTCAGTCTCAGTCTCGCCCCAGCGCTCGACTCTGCTGACACGCCGACTTCGACGCCCGCGACGCTCTGCTTTCTTCTGTTTCCTTCTTTATTTTTGGCACAAGTTCGCCACATTGAACGTTTATTTCTTTCTGTGTATTTATTGTTTCTTTTGGTCACCACCCGTGACAATATTTATGCCACAGGACGTAATTTAGTCGGAGTCACAATTTCTGCACATTTGAAACTCCCGCACTTTCGACGCGCGCGGAGTGGCTGTTATACGTCATCCCGTGACGTATAGCAGCCACTACGTGACGTATAATACCAACTTTGTGGCGCAGGATTTAAAACGGACGAAATAGCCGCAAACTACAATCAGTCTCGTGCAATAAATATTGCTGTAAAAAATTTTGTTTTTGGCAGAAAAATTGTTTTGTGACAAGCTTGTCCCAATTAGGCTGTTTAAAAACACTTTTTTTTTCTTTGCAGTTACCCTTTAATACCTCTAGAAACATTACTCGAAAACATTTCACCCACGGGACTATAATGCATTCGCATTCCTACACATAAGCAGTCTTGTGTTTGCAAGTGTTGTGTGGCATTCTGTCGCAGCAACCAACGCATTGCAAATTGAAAGAGTCCAGGAGAGGTTTATTCAAATCGTTTGTGATTGTTAAATTAAACAAAGGTAATTTTATGACTATGCATATATAGTTGGAGACTCTTGGCTTACAGATGCTAGCTAGTCGAAGAGTTGGGTGCGACTTACTACTGTCGCACAGAATAATTCCTGGCCAGATAGACAGCAGCTTGCTCTGTTGTCTTGACTTTCACGTGCCTCTACATTCTGGTAGATACGCCAATTTGTTTAATCCTGACTCTCAGGAGAAACTTTGTCCAATCTCACATATTCAACTGTCTTTTCATGCCATATCATTGAATACTTCTATGGATGCTTTTACAGACTTATGCGTCTTTTAAACGTGAACTAGAAACCTTGCTTTTCACATCATGATCATATTGTTGTCCTATATATGAGTTGTTCACATTGTACAGACGTGTCTACCCCACATCAAGACTTCGGTCGTTCTGGGGCACGGAATAATAAGGTATGTATGTACGAAGGCGAATCAAAGTCTCTGCCCCTATTTTTTATTAGCCAAAATAAGATACAGGTAATTACAAATATATGTGCAATTCTACGTAGCTTACACTATTCTTCCACATAGTCGTCACCGGTGCAGACATTTGTTCCATCGCAGCACTAAATTTGAGATACCCCTGTGATAGAATTTTTGTGGACGTGTGAAGCACAATCACCATCTTCAACAACTTGCAGCAGTGCCGTGCCACGGAGTTACCGGCAGATAGGGCCGGGCCGCTCCGAGAAAGGTCCACCGCTGGGAATCGATATGTTGACTTCGCATTTACAGCCGTAATTTTTCTGACTTGCCCTCGTATATAGGGTGCTTTCACATTATGTCAATCTGCCATTTTGTTGTTTGTTTTTCAAACAAATTTACTAATTTAACGGATTACATTGCAATCTGTTGAGGAGATGTGAGCATATGGTAAGATTTATAAGCTTCTGTGCTCTATGCCTTTGAGGGGTCACGTAAATCCTTGGAATGCTCACCTTCGGCACAGGCCAGACAGCTCGCAACAAAATGGCCGACGAAATTACGTCAGTGAAAACACCCTATAGTACAGTGGTCTCAAACTCATTTGAGCCTGGGGGCCAGATATCCTACACTGGAAAGGTTGAGTGCCGACGTTAAGACGGGGTGCGGCGGGAGAACCTGTGAACCTGCCAATGACATTGTTAAGTCTAATTTGTTTAAAGATTAAAACAGCGCAAGGACGCGGACAAGAACAAGAAGGTAGACAAACAAGGCGCTGACTTACAACTGAAGTTTATTCGTTCTAACAGCGAGTATAAATACTGTATTGTCACAACAAAAACATGAATAAAAAGCGTGTGCTGGATGCCACGTGCTCACTAGCCATCGCTATGCACTGTCACTGTGTGTCTAAATAGGAACGTTCCTTATCTGGTAAAGATAGTGACAGAGTGCTGACACAGTTTTGCCCCAATCTTCCGATTTCCCGCGCCTCAATGATTTCCCGAGTGAGTTTGTCTTTATTTTTCCTAATCACTTCACACTTGTCAAAGACGGGAGCGCAGCAACAGTCTCGGCAACAGTTGTAAGTCAGCGCCTTGTTTGTCCACCTTCTTGTTCTTGTCCGTGTCCTTGCGCTGTTTTAATCTTTAATCATGAAATACTAACTAGCCCAAACTTATACTCTAGTCTAATTTGTTTATATGACCACCTTGGGCCCTGACCTGATGTGATAACACAAATTAAAATTACACCGCCCCGCAAACGTGCTGGCATTTTTAATAGAGCAAGAGAGCAACTACACTTTCATTCCCGTTGCTCAATTCACTCGGGAATCAACCAAGCTCAACGTGTCTCTGAAAATCGCTGAAAAAAACAATCAGTTAATTTGACAGTTATTTTTTTAACATGAAACGTTCTTTGGCGAGGTGTTTGGCATCTCAAGAAGCCTGGACATAAGTAAAGCCTGGTAAAAACGTGGCTTTTTGAGTAATGGGGAAGAGGCCATCGCAATAAGAAAGCGTTTGCACCAGGTGGGAATCGACGCCAGACCGGTAGTTAAGCGAGTGTTTTAGAGCGCAGCTCTTAGGTGCCCGTTTTCGGCTTGAGCGGTGTCGCCTTCGCCGTAACCGTGCGGTGCATTATGGGACATGTGACGTCATGGATGACGTCATCAGTGACATCACGTGTGACATCATAGGCACTGATGTCATCATCAGTGATGTCATCATTAGTGATGACGATTGCGTCAACAAGCCCATGGGTGTCACGTGACTTCAGTGACGCCACATGACCCTCATGAGGCGACGGCGATGCCGCTCGGAGGGAGGAGTAGCAGACAGGATGAGGAGGTGAGGAGGAGGGAGGAAGGATGTACCTTCCCCTCCTCCTCCTCAAGAGCTGCGCTCTAATTCGGCATTACAGGGAGTTGTAAACGGCTTTAATTTTTTTCAGCGGGAAAGCCCTGATGGGCATGCGCATTGCGTCCTGCAGATAGCAAGTTGACACCCTGTCACGTTTTAATGTGAAACATAATTTGATTAGGTGTTAGGCATTTTGTGAAGCCCAATAAATGTGAATGCTGGATAAAAGTGGGGCCGCAAGACACGACACTGATTATCGTTGTTCTTGGGTAGGACAGGAGGAGTGAGCTGCTCGATGCTGATTGGTTAACGGGGAGGTCATGTGACCAGACGGGTAGGCGAGGAGGAGCTTGACCACCTGTACGCACTGAGGGAGAGGCCGAGTGGGTTAAAGCGCACACCCAGCTCGACGCGCGTGGAGCGAAAGCTCGCGCTGCCGAACCCAGGGATCCTGGGCTCGAGCCCCACCCCCGCCCGTTTCCATCTGAATGAGCATTAAGTTAAAGACCCCAGGCTAGCGGTAGTACTGCACTAGCTAAATTGCTCATCTACAGCGTGTGACTCGTCGCAACTTTAAATAGCTGACCAACTACACGCTGTATAAATATCCCCACAACCCAATTATTAATCACACTCTTCTTTTGGCGCACTGTATGGGCTTACGGTTCCGGCTTTAGATGGAGGTATCCAGAACGGAGGATGGATGGGAAAGAACTCGAGGATACTCACACTTTAATTTTGAAACTGGTGTCCAAGTCGCAGCTATAAATATGACCAAACGTTTGGAGCGACTCCGAAACCCGACTTCGAATCGTCTGAATACGCCGCCATGTTGTAATCCTTCCGTTACGCGGAGAATAGCCACAACGTCACGAACACCACAAAAATAAGAAATAAAACAAAACAAATTAGATGGTGCAACCAGTACAATAAAATTCTTAGGAATTTATTGCTGTAATTTAATTGAAGATTTATCATTAAAATGATTAAAAACTTTTAGTAAACACGCCCGGCTGTCTGCGGGGCTATTATCCCGTACCAAAATGCAGACTGGCGCAGACGACGTAGGCAGTAGAGACGTAAACAGTAGAACTCGTAGAACGTTGAACGCGAGGAAGGAACAAAAACACCGCAAAGTTTTCAACAGCGTGGCGGCATTTCCTCTTCGGAGCTTCTTTTCCCATCTTTAGTTTGCATTCCTCAAGGCTGCCAAGTAATCAACCTGACAGAAATTCCCACTTCTGAACGGGGCCGCGCAAACTCGGTTGAACGGTTGCATCCTCTCAGAACTGCGTGATGGCATTAAAAGGGATCAAAGTGTTGGAGATGGCCGGCTTGGCACCGGGCCCCTTCTGCGGCATGGTCCTGCGGGACTTCGGAGCCAGTGTCATCCGTGTGGACAGGGTAAGTCCGTCTGCAACGTACCTAAAATACCGTTCACGACTCGCTCAACTGGCTCAACCGTGAGTCGATCACGATTCACGATACAGAAGCTTACGAAACTGGTCTGTCAGGCCTGCGAAGAAGGTTTCTTTGAAATGGCGCATGCGTGAAAACAGCTTCCCCGTCGGAGCTGTACCGATCGTTCGGGAAACGATTCCCTAAAGTACTGATTTTATAGCCCAGGACTCAACTGAACGCAGACCGGCTCTGTCGAGGAAAACGATCGATCGTGATCAACATGAAGAACGAAAAGGGCAGCTCTCTGATCAAGCGCATGGCAGATGCATCGGATGTCTTTATCGAGTCTTTTAGACCTGGTAAGGTCATCTTTGTCATTGATAGCAACCCTTTCCAGCTCTTTTCAGGGACAATCGATGCACTCTAGGTTTTATAATATAGCTTTTATTATGCCTAGCATTCAACATCTTCTGTGTTAGCTGCACAGTCAACAAATGTCATCACACTTTTTATATATACTATCCACAAATTATTATACCTTGAAAATAAAGTTTGCATGTTCGTAGACAGTGCGCAAAACCTTGCTAGCTACTTGCCATTTCGCAGTTCATTTATCATGTAAGTAGAATTTTTTCCGGTGAAATGGTGCCTGTAATAATAATGTAGAAACATATGTCAATTGGCACTTATGACTACTGACACATTTAGTTAATTTCACATATGTTTACCACTTGGAATAGAACGAGTGAAAGCCACACATCTATTCCCTGTTTACAGGATTAGGAACTTGTCAGACAACATTCCAGCATGTCTCGGCAAATGTCGAGATAAAGGAGGCACTTGTCCAGTTTGGAGCCGTCCCCGAGATAAGACTGCAGTCAACAATGTCTGGCAAATGCAGGAGTGATGGAACGGGTTGGACTTGGCCCCGACGTCCTGTTCCAGACAAACCCCTGTCTGGTCTATGCTCGTATAACAGGCTTTGGGCAGACGGGACCCTTCTCGATGATGGCCGGACACGACATCAACTACCTTGCCCTCTCCGGTACCCGTCGTTGTCCTCAAACCGAAACACAAACTGCTCTTATCATTAAAACACCCAAAACTCGATCCCTAAAAACTTTTTTTATGTGTTCCTAATGAACTTCGCCTGTCATAGAATGAACTCTCTCCTAACCATCACAAAACACTTTCCCTGAAAAAAGATTTAGCAAAATATTTATGTTACAAGGTACTTTTGAGTGTGTTGAGCGAAATAGAAGCACATTTATGAATTGCTCCCAACTCAAGGTGTATTTTTCACAATCTACACACTGACTGTAAAGAATTTTTTGGTGTGTGTAAAAAGTTTGTTTCGCAACATATCTGTCCTATCCAGGCAATTAAAAAGAAAATTGGGAAGATTCAGTGTCTTTTTAATAATAATAGAATTAGTAATGATAATCTTAGTTAAAAGCGCATCATCCGGCTGTTTGCTGCGATGTCCGAGCATCAGTGCGGGAATGCTCGATGTTTACAGGTGTGCTCTCCATGCTGGGCGAGCACGGCCGCAAACCCGTGCCTCTGCCGAATGGGATAGCCGATTTCGGGGGCGGCGGACTTCTCGCCGCTCTCGGAATATGCATGGCTCTCCTGGAACGAACAAGGTCTGGCAGAGGTCAAGTGGTTGACACCAGCACGGCAAGCACCCATTTCTGTCCTAGGTAGAAAGTTGTATGGAAGCCTCGCTAGGTGGCACAAGCTACCACCCGATTTAGTGGGTTCAGCCGTACGCATCCGTCCATGTGGGGGCGGGGAGGCTGGATCATTTTGGAAAAGTTTCAACGCCGAAACCACTCCGCCATTTCCGGCAAAAAATTATATTTTCAGCCAAGAAATGCAGCCTCATCCTGTTGTCGCACACAGGTAGAAGGAGCCGCTTACATTAGCAGTTTCCTATGGAGAACCCGGAGTTCCAATATGGCGGTGCCCATCTGGATCGACGAGAGGGGAAAGAACATCCTGGACGGAGGAACCCACTTCTACAATGTCTACGAGACCAAGGACCGCAAGTACATGTCCGTCGGAGCCCTCGAACCAAATTTCTACAAGGAGCTCCTCCTGGGTTTGTAGAGAAACCATTCTTTAACTGCTGATTCTATTTCGAAGACTACGGTGCCCTCAAAAGTGGTCCAGGGACTTTCTCCCGATGATGTGGTAGAAGTGTTACGTTGCTGCTTGCTGTGATTCTGTGCTTCTTCAGGTTGCACTCCAACTTGACAAGGAAGCTTTGAAGTTGGGATGAACTCTCATTTGCTCGTGCTTCTTCCCGGATCTTCCAGCACCTACCTCCAGAATCGCAACATCCAACAACGTGACACAGCGGCTCGTGCGACTTCATTTGTTGCCGCTTTGGGACCACTTTTGATGCATGGGAGGTATAAGACACCAAATACACCGGTTGGAGACTACGTTCCAAGCACCGTGGTGAAGAGGCATCACCGGTAGTCTGGTTCAGGGGTTTGGAATGCATCGGCTGAGATGATTTGCTTGGTTGACAATTAGTTTGATGGCCACTTGTCGAGCACAGCTTCGTTTGCATCATTTGAAATGAATGAATATTCGTCCATCGGTCGTGTAGTACAGAAGACAGAAGTGAAGCGTAAGGTTGGGAATTAATTTAACAAGCAGTTTCCAGATGGAAGCACTTATCTGCATTTTCTCTAAATTAAGGAAAATGACTTAATTAACACGTGCATTCTACTTGTATACAAATCAGTCACCACCTCGGTCTCTCCTAGCCAAAGCGCCGGCCTACGGATCTCCAGGTGGCGGGTTTGAATCCGAGCCGAGGTGCCCGCAATCTGATGAAGGCTTATTGTGGAGAAGGCTTATTGTGGAGGTAAACGAGCTTTCGGTTGCACGTCGTAAGATCCTCAGGTGGTCAAAATTATTTCTCAGTCCTCTGCTGGGGCATACCAGATGCCCTTTGTTGGTCTGGCATATGAAACCCCCAAATGTGGCATTCCTATGTAAATCCAGTCAAAGTTAGGTGGGACTCCTCTCTTCTGCACTGAGACAAGTTCACGGGTGTAGAAGGGAAGGAGCGGGAGCCAGGACACAGTGATTGATGGCACCCAGTTTATCTGCGCCAACCACAAGGTGGCTTTGATAGACTCCCTTTATAGCAGGCAGATTTGTCGCTTGGTATTGGTTCAAAGCCATTGTCAAACACGCAAAAAGGAGACTCAATTCTTACATGAATGCCTCTTATCTCGGCCTCTCCCCACCCTCCAGCGCTTGGTAAAGAGTGTTTGATTGTAACCTCTCATATTTAATCAAAATGAGAAATTTCAAACCATGATAAACTACATTTTTCGTTATCTTGAGAGATCCAGCCATCTTGTCCCCCGCCTTTCAGTGAACCCTTTTCAAAAGTCGGCGTCACCTAGTGGCAATCTAAAAAGCTCCAATGCTGCTGCTCTAGTGGCGTTGGTAGAAGAACAGCCTACTACTTGGTGAATCGAAGGCGTAGTGGAAGGACCAGCTTCTCAATCTTCCACTTTCTACTCTATACTTTCCATGTTGTTCTCTTTTCCTGGGGTTGAGAAGCGGTGTAATGCCGCCAGTAGAGCGTCGGGTTTTGCTCTGGGCGGAGCGGGTAGACTGACTTTTGAAAAGGGTCTATTCACCTAATAGTAGCTCTTTAAGATGAATGTCTAAGGTGCATTGGATTAAAAGCCTAAAAGTGGTTCTTTTAACACTCGTTGGTGAAGAGGCATTCAAATTATTTAATGAGAAATTTCCGCAGGCCTCGGGTTGGAGCCAGACACGGTACCACAAATGGGCGACTGGGAGGAATCGAAGCGGGTCTTTGCTGAAATCTTCGCAACCAAGACGCAGGACGAGTGGTGCCGCGTCTTCGACCAGAAGGACGCATGCGTCGTGCCGGTCCTCGATCACGACACGGCGCACAAGCATCCGCACAATGCGAGCCGCGAGGCCTTCCACGAATGCAGCGACGGTCCTCCGATACCGCGACCGGCTCCACGCCTAGACCGTACGCCCGCCGAACCGGACTACAAGGAACCCCTGGTTGGAGAGCATTCCATAGAGGTCTTGAAGGAGGCCGGACTGTCCGACAGCGAAATTAGGACGCTCTTGCAGAGTGGCACCGTTGAGGCGCCCTGCTTTGACCCAAACTTGAGGCTGTGAGAATGTTGCTGCCATTACCGTAATATACCAGGGGAGCGCCCAGGATGCTTTCACTGGAAACTGGGTTAATCTAGATGTGGTTGCTCGTCTGGTCCAGTCGGGCGCTTAACGTATAATTTCCAGAATTCCCAAGTTTGGGAAATGTTAAGAGGAGGCACTCCCTTGGAGGGTCTACTTTTTAAGTACTGGTGCTCAGCGGCGTAGACTTTCCATTTTCTGAAGGGGGGGGGGGGGGGGGGGCAGGCAGGCAGGCCGGCCAAGAAGTTCTCCGGTGGGGGGGGGTGCTGGGCTGCTGAGCGTTACCTTTTCACCAGAACTGGAGATTGAAGCTAACGAAAGCATGCTGGGATTCTATTTCCCATGTATTTTGTCAATAAAGGCAACGTGGGCGTTATTTTGTTTACGTGGCGCTACTAGAAGCTCGTTACATGGCACGTAAACAGCATCTCGGTAAGGACCATGGCCCAGGCTTGGGGGGGAGGGGGGGGGGGGGGTGGGGGGCGGGGGCACGAGCCCTGATGCTTCCCCAAAGTCTACGCCTATGCTTGTGCTATCTCAATGAAATTGACAGGGTATACTAGGCATGCAAACTTGGGAGGCTACACAAACTTTCAGCTGAAAAGGTAATAGTAACCCTGAGACGTAGGAAAAATAAAATAAAAAAAAAACGGACAGTACATCGAAGTCTCTATGTACTGTCCGTTTTTTTATTTCCCCTGAGTCTCGGGGTTACTATAGATATCATTCACCAGCTCGCCTGTTTTTTTACCTTTCTTCACAACTAGTAGTAGTGCCGAGGGAAAAAAACTATCGTTACAAAACAGTACCAAAATGTCACAATTTTGTTTGCTTGGATATAAGGACGAGTGACTAGACTAATCGGTAGTCGGTTTCAAATAATTTTCAAGTGCCATATATACCGTTAAAGTAAAACTGCAAAAATGGGATTTATTTCATTTTTTTACGGTTACAAAAGTCGACATTTTCTCGCTAAAGAAATAAAAAGTAAGTACACAGTCGAGTTTCGAGTAAATTTCACTCCAGAAAAACCGCATAACAATTACGAAGGTACTTCAGTCATCGAACTATACTTTTTGAGCAATGAAAAAATGGTCAAATTTCATGAAGCTGAGAAAAACACGTTTGAAAATCCCCCTTGTTTTCTGAATGCAGCAACTCCTCTATTCTCAATGCCACCCCCCCCCCCCCCCCCCCCCCCTAAATATTTAGACACCCCCCTAATTTTAATTCCCGGAAAAAACCCTGGTGCCCCACATCAAAACTTCAGTCGTTCTGGGGTACGTAATAATAATGTATGTATATAGGGTGTTTTCACATGAGGTCCATCTGCCATTTTTTTTTTTCTTCAAATGTACTACTTTAAGAGATTACATTGCTATCTGTCGAGATGTCAGCATGCTAAGACAAAAAGCTTTGCTCTATGCTTTTGAGGGTTTAAGCCACTGCAGTTTATGTAAATCCTTGGAATGCTCATCTTCGGCACATGCCAGACAGTTCACAACAAAATGGTGGACGAAATTACGTCAGTGAAAACGCCCTATAATATGTTAAAAATTAAGAAGGTAGGGCAAAAGAAAGGGAAGTGGGAGAGGAGAAAGCGGACGCAACGCTGGCGAGGGGATTTGCTCCTCCCCTCCCATTTCCACCATTAAAGTCTCAGACTGAAAAATGATATCAACGGGAAAATTGGCGATCCTTTCCTGTGAAAAATTATACCAGAATTTGAAATTTTCAATGGTTGACGCCAACGTTGTTGAAGCCAACCGGGAGTGGCGCTTGTGGCGGCATCTCTCGATAGGCACAGCAAGCAGACGACGGCGCTCGGCTGCAAGCAAAACCTGGCAAAACGTACTTGCTGCGTCCGCTGTGTCCGTCTGAAGATGGCGCCACGAGTTTATTCGGCGTCTAGCCAGTCCGCCCAAGTCCGCCGTTGAAATTCTCACGGGTGTTGGGAGTTACGCTTTAACATTTGGCACTACAATTTTGCTGAAAGGTTTAGCTCGTTATGTGCGACCACAGACTTTTCCGGCAAATTACACAAACTGGCAGGTGGCGCAAGCTGCCGCCCGATTCAATAAATTTAGTTATAGGTGTCTACTTATTTCCAAACACTGGTTTCGGTTTCGGAAGCGCCGCCGTCTTTGTCGTTCTTTTTTTTTTTTTTTTTACTCTTTACGACACATTAAATACCGCGCGTATCATGGCTGAACAGGGCGGCCAACGTGAAGCGGATGAAGAAGATGAGGGAGGGGCGCGCGGTACCAGCAGCATCGAGCGCCCAGAAGATGCGTAAGTACGTTTCATATCGTCTTCGAACACGACAGTTACCCGCCGGAGTCGAAGAGGCCGTGCTTTCGCGCTGTCATAGCTAAAAAATAAAAACTCCAATTAAACTAAGCCAATCCGCACGTCAGATAAAACTACACACACAACTCGCAGCTCACAATGATCTTCACTCATTACGATTCATTTTTATAATTAAAATTTCCGTAGAAGTGCAAGTAGCGTGTACGGCAATCGCTTGAAGCTTCTCGGTTCAAGAGCAGCAAATGCTTCATCAGCTATCCAAGGAGAGACAGATGACAGACAGAAAAGGAAGAGAAGAACAAGTAATCCCTGACAATGTATGTAATTTGTTGCTAGTCTACAAGGTAAATTCACGCCGCACGAAATGCAGAACCCTAGCAGAGAAAGGAAGGGATGGCGACATTGCTGCTTGGTTTACATACAAGGTTAACGCTCTTGTCCTGCAGACAGTAGACAGTCGGTCCAGAACGCCTCGCGCAGGGATAAGGAAGACCTCGACGAGCCGGTCATCCCGGACCTTGCCGTGTACGCCATCGGTGGATTCGTCATGACCTTGGTCATTGCAAGCTTGCTCTTCATGGCCTACGTCATGATCTCGGAAGGAAGTGAGCCCAGGCGTGACTGGGAACACTGTAGCAGTTCTTTGTCGGTCCAGGATTAAACAAAATATAAATATTTTGGTGGTCAAACTAGTAACCATAGCAGCCTCTCTAAAAAAAAAAAAAGGAAAAAATTGGTTAATTATTTACTTAACTAAAAAGTCTTCAATAACTTGCGCCCGTCATGTTGATACCTCCGCCGATTCCGCAACGGCTGCGATAGCGCCGCTCTGCTTGCTTAGTTTCGGTAGGCTAACACAATAAAATCAGTAATGCAATAGAGCCTCTCGCCTACAAAGAGCTTTGTCAGTACTAGCATGATATTACTGCAAGATTACTGTAAATGAAAGCTATGATGGTTCTACTTGTAAACAAATTGTGGCCAAGATACAATTAAACTTTTTCAAGCAGTATCACATTCGTTTGAAGAATCATGAGTACAAGTAGCACTTACGCAACATTTTCCATTTGACAAGATTTAGAATGATTGGAAAGCAGACGTAATATGAAGACTTGACAGTATGTGTTATGAGTGCATAAAAATATAACCTTAGGATTAATGGATACAATTATTTAACTAATTTTTTTTTCTGCATTGCACCAACAGTGGGAAGTAATGTCAAGTGAATCGTCATCCAAGTACAGAAAAGTTCCACGATCAAAACTCATCTCATCATCTATGCTACGAAACCAAAGCGTAGAAAAATAAATCTGGGCATCCTGACTGAGTGTCCTTTAATGGCTCCAAGCCAGATGCACAAGGTTGATGATCATGAGATCTTGGCACATCAAGCAAGGCATTCTTCAGCCTCCTTTCACAGCTTGCAAGTTTCTGCCACCCCTGTAGTAAATCTCAGCGCAATAAGTCAAGAAACCAAACTATGCGGTCCCTTCAAACCGCCATCAGTCCCTTTGACTCATGCGATAGCATGCAAATTTTAACCTCGGCAAGGTTCAAAATCTGCAAACTTGGCATAATCTGTTTTGAAAATATATGTTCCATCTCACTAAAACCGTGCAGTACAGCCAAAGCTACAGGGGAGAGATTGTATCCCAACCTGTTCAAGAGGAGGGAAAGGAGGAACAGGTGAGAGGGCTGGGATTCCTGTTTCCCCTTTCCCTCCTCTTGAACAGGTCGGCATACGCTCTTCCCAGTAGCTTTGGCTGTGCTGCACAGTTTTAGTGAGACATAGTATAGTAACTTTGGGCGACTCGAGACATTTCAGGGTGAGAACAAGCATTGGCGAGTGCTTTCACAGCTGCCTGCTTCAGCACAAATTTTGTGGCAGTGACCAATGTCCAAGGCATAGAGCTGTCAAAAAGTTAGCACAGCCCCCTCAATACAGACCCCGTTAATACGGATGCCCCGCTATGTAAATAAAACATACAAAATGAGTAAATGCATTTTTGTCTCATTATTATGAACTCTGAGTATGGACGGTTTTTGGTGGAAATGAAGGCGTCCGTATTAACGAGACGCCGCTCGTACATTAGTGCCAACAGCCTGATTTTAACTGTGCATCTCTTTCTGCAAGTTAAACATGCTTGACGTTAGGCCATGGAGCAAAAGGCCCTATAGTATCGTAGATAGGAGACATTTATTCAAGCATTCAGGTACTCTGTACAAAAGAAAGAAATAGGTGCGAGTTAAATACGGCACTTTTTTTATTTTCACGATTCGGCCAACGTCTTTTTATTGGGACATCTTGAAAGCGCAGCGAGACCGTCTTTATTTAGGTTCTTTTGTGAGGGGGAAGGGGGGGGGGAGGTGTAGCATAAATTAACTTTTGTCTTTACAAGGGTATTTACACTAGCTACTGCGTAAACTACATCTGAAAAGTTTCCACAACATACACGGCACAAGAAAATATAGCGTGTAGTATAAATTAGAGGCGCACACGAGAGCTTGGAAAGGGGTCAAAAAGAAAATGTTAGAGGAAAAGATCTGTGCTGCTATATATATGTATATATATATATTTATATAAAAAAAAAGGCATTTGTTCCTTCCACTTTGATGATTCTAAGCCAGACATTGGTGACTAGAGTCGGACAAACTAGAGACAAAAAAAAAAAAATCCAAAAGGAAGTTGGTTTTGTCGACTGGACGAAACCGAACCATACACGTTTCTTCCCGACTGCTCTGCGTTTGTTTGTTCACTTTGTTCTTTGTTTCCTTGGCCGTAACTTCCTCTGAAGTTTGGGACGGCACACTTTGACCTTGAAGTGTCCTTGAAGTTCGAAGTGTACCGAATTCTCGAGGACCACGAACCGTCTCCCGAGGACACCACAACTCGGCGGTTTTTGAAAGTCCGAACCACGTCCACGAGGATTGTGGTGCCTACATTGGAGCACTTGGTGGAAATGGCGACACCACAGTGACGCGGCGTTTTTGCCGACTCGGCACGTTTCCTGGCACCGAGTGCACCTGCCTCGCCATTCGCCCACGGCGGTGACGTATTTTCTTTTTTCCCCGGAGCTGAATCGCCCCCTTTCGCACCCATTTCCCGCGAGCACTTTTTGCAGACACGGCACATCTTTTTGGGGGGCTTGAAGCGGGCCTCAGTTTTTCCAGCCACTTTTGCTACGACGACACAGCACATTCCGGTGTAGACTCCGGCTGTGGTGAGGCGCAGAAGTTCTCGGTGACACCGCATGGCACTTTTCCTGCGGTGATGGTGACACTTGCTCCCCTTGCACCTCCGGGTGTGAAGGGTTTGGATCTTTGCGTCGAACGTGTCCACGTGAAGCTCGTTTGGCGGGCGGTGGGCCGGGGTTCCGTTCAGCGCGGTCGGGGCACGGGGGTTTTGAGTACGAGGGCACTCTCGGCCGAAATAATGGGCAGCGCATTGTCCCTGTGGTAGTTCACCAGATGGCTCACGCTGTCGAAAGTTCTGTCTTTGGTGCGAACCTGGGGAAGGGATCGGCAAGATTTAGACGGCGTAGAAAAAAAAGACTGCTCAATTCAATGCTGGAAAAAGTGAGCAGCTTCTGCTAAGGAGGATGCTAGGTAGAAAAGAAACCTTTTTACCCAATGTTTCATTTTTTTTTTTAATTGTCATTAAAACTGCCATTCAACTCTTTACTGCAAGGATGTTGAGAGAGAGGAGGGTCAGCTCTGAAAGCGGCTCGACTGTTGCACCTCCCGCAAACCCCAAACCCAGATTAGCAAAAAATTACATTTTGACAACCAGATAAAACTTACCTAAAAAAAGAGTAAAAGCTCAAAGCAGAAGTAAGAAATTATAATAACTTTTTTTTTTTTTTTTTTTGGGGGGGGGGGAAGAAGAGCTGCATGTGTTGTCCATCGTAGAGTTTTCAACCCGTTTACGGCGAAGACATTAACGGTGAAGAATAAAGGGTAGGCGATCCCACGGGGCGCAACAGAAAAAGGTTGCACAAAAATTACCAAAGCGACAAGCGGACCTCGCTATAAAACTCGGACGACAAGAAAACCAATGCAGCAAATGGCAGGCATGATAAACTCGAGCAACATAGTTCTTTCTTTTTGGGGGCGGGAAGCTAAAATGTCACCACAAATAATTTTATGCTGCGCTTTGGCTGCGCGTGTACGTGCAAGGCTCGTGAATAAAAAAAAAAATCCAAATTTGGGGATTTTACGTGCCAAACCTACGACGGGCATCTGGCACGCCCCAGCGGAGGACTGAGGATTAATTTGGACCACCTGGGGATCTTTTGACGTGCAACCGAAAGCTCGGTTACACGGCGCCTTCTCCGCAATAAGCCTCCGTCATAATGCGGGCACCTCGGTCGGGATTCGAACCCGCCACCTGGGGATCCGTACGCCGGCGCTCTCGCCTCGGAAGGCTCGTAAATCGCCGAAGCGGTAGTGAAAGCGGAAACTCGCGTCAGAGGTGGGATAATCAAAGCTTTTCCTTGCCGTTTCCATTCTGTCACGGACTACAGTGGGCTCATCTTTCTAGTAGAAGACCAGAAGAACTCACCACGCCGGCGGGATCCACCAGTAGCAGGTGCCTGCGTGCGCTGCCCTGCATCCCCGTCAGGACAAACTGTCCCGGGTTCCCCTGGGACTCGCGCACGAGAAAGTCGCCGTCTTCCGCCAGCCGCCCTTCGCTCTCCTTGCGGCTGATGGCGCCGTGGAACCAGGCCTCTTTCTCCAAGGTCGCACGATGCCGTGCTTCGGGTGTCGTCGTCGTGGCAACCGTCGTCGCGGCGACGATTGTCGTTGGCGCGGGGGCGACGGCCGGTGCGGCCGCCGAGGCGGCTGCCGTCGTTTCGGTAAATGGGGACAGGTTCCGCGGAGGAGGGAGGGGCAGACCGCTCACAAACGGATCTGCAGAAAAAATATTTCGGGCTCAGCTGCGTGACAGTCTAGTCGCGTGATGAGGCAAAAGGGGACTCAGTCACACAACCGCCTACTTCGTTTCAAATCACGTGCGCAACGTGGCAAAAAAAAAAAATGTGGATGGTAAAGCAAGCATTACTTCCATCCTGTTTGTTCCTAAACAACCTTAAGACACTCAGTGGTTGTATGTACCATCAATTTTAGAAAGAGAATAGAACAAAGTTTGGATTTTGGGCTACTTGGTTCAACGTTATGAGGTGTGGAAATTCGTACATTGGGCAGACGGGAAGATACATGAACGAGAGACTAAGTGCGCACAAATATGCAAGTGGGCAGCGGCAAGCACCTGGTAGCCTTGCAGCACAGTGTACAAGAGCAGCTGCAAAGCTCTACTTGGGACTACCACCATCTTAGATAGATCACGAGACAGGACCTGGCACAATATCGTGGAGGCTTTTCACGTGGCTTCAGGAAGGCACGGCATGCGCGTCAGTAAACCCTCAATAGCTTTGAACCAAAAATAAACAGAATTACTTAGAAAGACCCCGCAGCACAACAGGGCGAACATCAGCTTCAGGGTACCCACAGCATAGACACACACACGTCAGAGATCAAATGTCTACAAATGCCAGCAAAGACATTCATCCTTCCGGTCATTTCCGCCGCTCCTCAGCAACATACTCGTCTCCTAAAACTCTGGCATTTTACCATTAATCTAAAACACAGGTGTCTACAATTGCCCGCGACAACATTAATCATCCGGTCGAGTCTTCGTCTTTCAAAACTCGTGTATAAAGGAGGAAGGAGAAACGTAAAACAAACAGTTGTTAGTCTGCACTTTCACACGTATGCGGTGTTCTTTTCTGTCTACTATATCGCCTTATACTTTACGTGTTCTTTGAGTGAAACTTCGCAGTGCAGTATACCTGATAATAGAACAAGGGTTCACTTATTTTCTCACAGCTAATCCAGTACAGCTGTGTAGAACTTCCTCATCAAATGCGTCTTTGATATCATTGGAAGTTGTTGTCTAAGTGCACTGCCAAGCTTCGGAAATTAAAAACAGCGCGGAAGGACGAGGACCAGACAAAGAAGTGACACGGACGTAGCGCTGCGCTACGTCCGTGTCACTTCTTTGTCTGGTCCTCGTCCTTCCGCGCTGTTTTTAATTTCCGAAGTATGTACCAACTCGCCCAAGCCTCAACTTTAGCATCATTCATTTCTAGTACAATGGGCCCTTTTAAAAAAAAAAAAACAGCGCTACGTCCGTGTCACTTCTTTGTCTGGTCCTCGTCCTTCCGCGCTGTTTTTAATTTCCGAAGTATGCACCAACTCGCCCAAGCCTCAACTTTAGCATCATTCATTTCTAGTACAATGGGCCCTTTTAATTGTTTCACTGTTCAGCCTTGTTTCATCGTCAGCGCTACGTCCGTGTCACTTCTTTGTCTGGTCCTCGTCCTTCCGCGCTGTTTTTAATTTCCGAAGTATGTACCAACTCGCCCAAGCCTCAACTTTAGCACTGCCAAGCACTTGTGAACATAACCTTCAAGACCAACGAGCTAATGCCTGCAGAAAGGATGAAATATTCCTTCTTCCTTTCTTAGTCTGCTTTTAATGGCAATGCTCGCAACTTTTGAAACACCAGGGAAGGGGTTTTCGACAGAGCGACTTCGCAGAACTGCGAGGCAAATCTTTCCGCTATGCTGACTCCCGGCCATTTCAACGGTAGTATTGCCAGACGCCCGTTTCTACCATCCACAAGACGGCATTTGAGCAAAGCAACCACAAAACGCCCCGACCCAAAAACCTTCAATGGTAAACACGTCGAAACCTCCATTTCAATGCAAATTTCTATGTTGGAGAAATGTCCCACAAAATTTTGCGGAGTGGTCAAAACATGGAACGTGATGTTTCCCAGGTCTACTAATCGGTCCGCAAAAGACAAGTTCGGTTGCAGAAAAATGCTGCTCTTTTTCGGTAAATCTGCGAATGTGGATGGCTTGCCACTTCACGAGTTAGCCTTTTATCTTTTTGAGAAGGACGCGGTGAAATTCTGAATGACACTTACGCATGTCAAAGGGATCCAGCACTCCATTTCTGGTTCGTCCAGAATCTTGCCCCATGTTCACATACTCTGAAAAAAAAAAAAAAGAGGCGAAATTTAAACAACCGGAAAGAATAAACACAAATTCGGGACGCAAACAAACGATACAACTCTTTCATTAATCAAACGCTGTTTGGCCGACGTTCGGACGAGAACAAGACATGTAGCTCACAAAACTTGATTTTGTGAGCTTGAACTTGAACTTGAAAAAGAGGCGAAATTGATGAGCAAAATTGTTTTCACCTATCCTAAACATGTTTCCCAGTCTATCTTTAGCACTTAATTTCACGCATACAAATACATTAACATTTTCTCATCTTTCCCAAATAATAAACCAGTGGAATTCATTATTAAAAATTGTTTTCTCCTTGAGATTGCACATCATCCTAAGAAAGTTTTATTTAACATTTTGCTTTTAATATCTTAAAGAAAGTTTTGCTCATGTTTAGGTTTTCTTTTGCTCACTATGCTCTCTGCGATTATTTTTCATAAATAAATAAGTAGATCCAATTATAATTTTTTTTTTTTTCACCTTTGCAAATAAGATGCAGGCTACCTAGACACTGATGTATATTATTGTTCCCGTGCAACCAGTTTCGTAGCATTATTTCTTCTCAGCCTTACCACTTAGCCTCATTTCTTGAGAAGCCAGTTCGTGCACGGCATCATTTTTTTTTATAGCACTCATTCTGCTAGATTTTTAGACAACGGGAAGTTTGTCAACCCCAGTGGCCGTCAGGATGTAGAAACACCGCGTCATGTGGATATAAAAAGAAATTACAAAAACTATAAAATTTTTAATAAAAAAATAGAAATGTGAAAAAAGTTTTTTCTTTTTTTACACATTAGGTAGAAGATATTGCAGCTTTTCACAACAAAAGACCATGAAAATGCAGCATAAAGTAACCTCAGCCTGCACTCCTTACAAAACTTCAGAACAGAAACTTCAAAAACTGGCTCCACACATCATGTAAGAAAAAAAAAAAAAAAAATAAATGCAATTTTAAGCTAGTGTTTTCCCCTAAAGTCTGCAGCATGAAATAAATGAATAAAACAAAGTCCTCTTGTACTCCGAGGCAGAAGAACAATAGCCGAGCATCCCCACCTGTCAAATAATCTATTGCAAAGGAAGCGCAGTTCAGCTCACCGTGGCGCGGTGTCAATGCCGCTGGGGGCAGCTCCTCCCCGCTCAGGTCGATGAGGTTGGTGTCGCGGGACACCCTGCGAGCGTTGGGCTGCGGGGCCGTTCCCGGGACGACCTCCTTGACGCCGGTCGTCCCCAGCGGTGCCACCACGTCCTTCGATAGCTGTAAAAACGTGAAACGGCACGACCCTCAGCAGGAGCCCCAGCAGCACCGACTGTGATCAAACCACCTTATAAAGCGCTTGTGCACCGTTCCTACAGAACGCTGGAACCGTACGACAAAGCAGCAGGCTCGGTGAGCATGTACCATGGTCCACAGATGATCGTTACCTCGAAATTCTGACAGTTTCTGCCCTGATAACTCATCGATGACGGGTGTCACCGGTCCTCGAAGATGGGCCAAAAAACTTTCGAAATATAAATAATTGTAGATTTCATTTATAACTAAATTTCGACACTATTTAATAACTACAGGTTGCTACGATAGACAATACTGCCAGTCCATCATTTGCACTAATTCTCGTTTTTGGCGTATGCTTGCCCGAATAATCAGGCTTTGCCTTCATTGTGCAAAAAAGTCGGTGGCGGCGAATCATAAGCGTTGGTTTTTGGCGACACCGGCGCGGTTGTCAGTCGTCGGCGACATCTCTCTGTGAACACTCGGCAAAATTTAGAGCAGGGTACGAAAAGCCTTCTAGTCCCCAACAGCTCATTGTTTGTTCAGTTTATCCCTGGGAAAAGCTAGATCACAAACTGACGCAGTTTCCAGGCCAGAAACGTCTCTGCAACTGCAACTGTTGCCACTTCGGAACCACTTTCGATGCATGGGCGGAATGGAACACCAAACACGCTGGTCGGAGACGCGCACCAGGCGTCATAGCTGTGCAGAAGGAAGCGTACCTCCTCGGGAACTTCGTTCCGGTAGTCTGGGAGAGGGGGGACGGGTGGCGGCGGTGCTTCGGGAGGCATTTTCCCGGGGAGGTCGTTGTAGTACTCCGGGTCGTCCCTAGGAGGCGCCGCCGTACTTTCCGTTGGCCTGCCATGAAACGAGAAACAGCAGTGGCACCGTCTTTATTGACTGCACAGTTATTCTCGGTGTGGCGGCTTTTTAACGGAGAATGAGACGTGTCGAGACGTGGCGACGGCGAGTCGACCAAGGCACAAAGTGTTGGCACACGAAGTCAATGTCTTCCTCGAGCATTTGGTCCCAGATTTCTCACGAGTTTAGTTAGGACAAACTAAAGCAGACATCTGGCAATTAAAAAATCACAGTCTCAAGCTTTCTTCCCGCATCGCTAATGTGCTTTGTGGGTACATACACGTGCCACGTACACATTACTTACATTAGCTGTAAGCCCAACGGGAGCAAATTGCAATAAAACTGCAAGACTGTATGCCTAGAAGCATCATTTCTATAGAGTTGGAAGCATAACCTTGGCTCTCATATATTTAAATGACACATTACGAAGCAGTTTGCGTGGATAGCTTTTTTTAGCAGTTTTCACTAGTGACCATCCTGACAAGGAACCACCAGCCATGCCTGTAAGAGGTTACATGACTCTACAACGCACAAAAATTATGCAAGCTCGATCCTGCCGACAAAGACCATGGAGCACAAAACGTGTTGGGCACAAACTACTACTCCGCAAAACCCCCTCCGCAAAAAATTGACGTCGCATGACAGGGGCACGTCGAATTCCCTGCCAAATTTAGCGGCAAAATTGACATCACATATGTCCACTGACTTCAACTGCTTACTCGTTCGTGAAAATTTGCTCATAAAAAACGACCCATGAAACATTGAAATGCTTGTCGCTTACGAGCGGCTACCGACGTCTGGGAATTTGCAAGAGGCTGCCCCGCACGCTTGCAGTCGGCAATCTGTCGCAGAAATACGAGCGACCTGCGCAACAGCGGGCTGCTGCCAACGCACCTCCTGGGTACCAGGCTCGGCAGGGGGGGCGGCGCCGGAACCCCGCGCATGAACTCCCGGAAGCGCAGCTCGAAGGCCTGACCGATGGTCGTGATGACGTCTTGTGCCAGGCCTCCCCCACACTCCAGGACGAGGCACGCCCGGGCTCCCTGGCCGTCCTTCGCCACGTACGCCACAAAATCCAACGTCTCCTGAAAGAGGCCAGACAGGTGCCGCACGTCCAATCGAGGCTCGTGTCGAAGCGCCAGTTTGCCTACAGGCGCACTTAATGGCATTCTGAGATCCTCCTTTTATGGGGCAAACTCGATCTGCGTGCTCAGAGCATCCTAGAAAGCTCAAAGTTACAATCGTGTGGGACCTTCTTTCTTATTAGCCCTTTCGAGGTCAAGCTTTTAATTTTTAGATACCTTTTAGTGGTTGGGTTTTCCCGACAATAAAAAAATACAAAAAATTGATGTTTTTTTTTCGTTTTTTTTTTTTTTTTTTTATGTAACGGGATTACGTACAATGCTTTCGGGCTGTCCAGGTTGAGAAGCATATAATGTAAATATTGAGGGCGAAAAGTTGTCACGCAAAGAGGTCACCTCCAGCGTATCATTGTGCGGATCCTCAGATTTTTGGACTATATACCGCCCCACTAAAGCGAAACACTGTGCGAAGAACACAACTACAGACCCCCAAAACGTATAACAGATAGCATAACCTCACGGGGAGTGCATGCTTTTGTGTTTAGCCACCACACATGTGCGGCAGCAACCTTCAAAGAGCTAAAAACGCAACCAGACGTCGCGAGGTGCGTCTTTCTGCGATATATCTCGACAAAGGGGTGTAACGCTTCGCTGCATTCTGGAATGAACACGCAACGAAACGACGGTCACGGGACGGGGGATACACTGACCGCGTCTCCTCCTGAAGCGAAGGAAATGTTGGGCATGTTGTGGTCGGCGATGGCTTGACCAGTCTCCAGGATGGAGAGCTTGAGGCTCGAGCTGGTCACGCACAGGTTCACGTTGGAGCCCGCATAGTCCATGTTGGGGCGCTCCGCCAGCATGCGCTGGAGCCTCCGATCCACCTGCAAAAGCGCCGAACTCTCATTCCTCACGCTCGTTTCAATCCCTTTTCTTAAAACTATGCAACAGGATGCCTTGAGATGCTGCATACAGGATTCCGAGTTTTTGGAGTTCATTTTTGAGCATATTCGGAGGGTGTTTATCAGAGTGTGTTTTTAACTAAAAATTCAGAGTCTTTTTGGAGGACTGCATGCAGCAAAACTTATCATGATAACCAAAGCAACTCTAGAAAAAGCGTATTGGATTATTGAGCGAGTGGTCAGTGGTTCGATCCCCGCCGACTTTGTGACACCCTTGGCTTCAAAAACACGCTGCCTGTTAGAAGAGCGGCAAAGTACCGCACAAGCAACGCGCTACGACTAAAAAGAGCATCCAAAGTCGCTCGTCAAGATGACATGATGCAAGTGAAGGCCAAAACGCGCAAAATCTTTTTTTATGCTTAGTGCGGCCGCAATCGCGCGCCTCGTCCGCAGCTGCATTTCTTGCGTCCGCACCGGATGAAGTTGTAATTCCTGTCCGACTGAGCGCACCTGCGTGGCGGCCCCGGATGATTCAACGTTTTACTCCGCCGCGCAACAGCTGTGGCAGCTATGCGGTAAATCAAATACCGCTCCGCAGCTTTACCGCTTCCCCGGCTAAACCGGCTCCGCCTCATTAAAAGACGTTCAATCGTGCCCGCAACGCACACGTACCCGCTCTAATTCCGCCCACGCTCGCCCGTCCTGCGCTTAGTTATTTCTGTCGCCCACACGCTCTTCCGACAGGTGCAGGCGTAAACTAAGGAAGACGAATGTCCCTGCCGCGTCGCCGATAACAACCAAGCCCCAACATTGCCGTTGGCGCGCCGAGGCAGCAAAAGAACGCCACTGAAAACGGTTCAGCGCCGGCTGCGCGGGATAGTGCGTGAGTCTATTAAAAGCCCAAAGCTACGGCCGACTGGCGTGTCGGGCGCGCTGGTCAGCCCGAGCGTCCAAAGCGATCCCGGAGTGGCGACGAACGACCTCACAAAAGCCAAGGTGTCACGCCGTTGGGTGTCGCGGCAAACGCACCGGTCAGTGACGCATTCCAGGCACTCGCCCTACTGCGGACAGTTGCTTACGACATCTTACCTTCCGCTTCTTGTCGACTGCTTTCAATCCGGCGGCTTCGCAAACCCGCGTGATGCACTCCCTGGGGAAGGAAGAAAGAGAGGAGTTATACGTTTGTGCCCTGTTGGACTCGCGCGATTTTGCTGTAAAGTCTGCGAACATTGGGCCTGTTCTGAGCTTGAAAGATGGCTTATAGATTTACATTTGAGCGTGGCCGACTGCGCAGCGATTGCTTACGACAGTCTGCGTATAACTAGACCGTGAGAAGTGGTTGCCCACAGTACACAACTCTGAGCATGGGGACATGTTATTCCTAACAGTGCCCTTACATTACACGCAACTTGATTCCAGTAGTGATTTCGAAGGACGTGCGGCAGGCGGATAGATGTGGACTTACTTTGCGATGAGGGATCTTGTATCGAAGTCTAGGCACTTCATGGACATCTTGACATCCAGGCAACCGATATACTGCAAGAGTGATGAAAGAAGAGAAAAATGTAACAAGGGGCGTCGACCACAGACGTTGTGTTCCACAGCCCCTTAAAGAGACAATGAAACCGTATCAAGTTCAAATTTTCTTAACTGCATATCACTTAGTGGAACACACAGAGCTAGTACATCAGGGTAGGGATTGAGGCAGAAAAAGAATTTTTGCCATGAAATTTCTTAAGTGAGGGTAGACCAATTTTGTCTTTGTCTCCTTCGGAAAGCTTTCCGACATTTTACTGCGATCCGCCCAATTCCAAATGGCGCTTATAAATTCGAATCAAACAAAGCGTCGCACCGCGTCGCCAGGTGGCTTGCACCCAGCAACGATCAATTCGTAAGCAAGTATTCGGATTCACATTCATGGCCAATATGTGCAGTGATGGTAATTCCCAAACTCAAACAATGTCCGGAGCATGCATGTGCTGCAACAGTGCAAACCGAGGTATGTAACTGATGAATGAAAGAACGCCTGACAGCTTGCTCTCGAGTTGTGGAAATTAATGCTCCTCAATTTTCTTGTGTTTTCGTAACAGAGTGTGCACACTACTGAAAACAAATGCATGCCACATATTATGAACACCAAGGACTATGTCAATGCAACATTGAATGAAAGCAAGAACATTTTTTTGGCCTCTTTAACCTCACACGGCATTACTGAGCAGAATTTGCAGTGTCATCCACACTATGACCTTTCTTTAAAACACTCTCGCAAGCTCCAACAAGCATCTGTGGTTGCGTAATTTTTTTTTTTTCACATTGCAATTAAAAAATTGTGCTCTCATCACTTATCACAACATGCAAGCTAAAGGGAATTTTTCTTTCCTTCTAAACAATGAGCAAGTGGGAGTTCGACAGACATAATCGCCAGAGAACTGAACTTAACACAAAAACTAAACTGGCAATCACAATGCCTCCTTCAATGAGAAATAAACTAAGAAAACCCGATTCCCTCATACAATCCAGGGAGGTGCAAAGAGCAAACAATACACCAGAAAAAAAGGATGGGCCAGTGACACTCTGCATGTCACGTGTTTGCAAGTGCTTATTTTCTGCTGGAGAACTGCTGAAGAGCTCGAAGCACGTGGAGTGAAAGCTCGCGCTACAGAACAGAACCCATGTATCCCTAGTGCATGATGCCTACATTAAAAACATTTTTTTTTTTCTCATCCACAGCGGCAATACCAGATGCCCATTTGGGCAGAGTAACTTCCCCTGTCTAAACCTACACGTAACAAAATTTTATGAAACAGGAATAATTTGAGGGCTCTATTCCAAAGGCAACAAACCAATTCATTGAAAAAGACTCTCTTCAAGTCACTCTGGATACCACCCCCTCCCCTTTAAAGAGAGGGTGCAGCCAATGACAAAGGCCTACCCCCCCCCCCTCCCCCCCACACACACACATATTTTCTCTGAAAATGAGGGGGAACAGAACCTATGAGAGAAGCAAAAAACGTAAATAAACGTCTCTCCTCCCTCATTGAAAGAAAGAGAGAGAAAAAAAGAACAGGCAAAAGCGAGCTTAGGACTAATAAAACTCACAGGTGGGATTTTCCAAGGATAAAAACCTGTAGGCCTGCACCCCCTCTCTTTTTCAAAAGGAAAAAAAGAAAACGATTGAAAGACCGCCGAACAAGGGGGGCAGGGGGCGACAGCTGTCCCCCTCATCCCGTTCCCCCGAAAATCCCCGTCATCTTGTGTGTCCTCAGTTGCCTTAGCGTAAACCTCAAACGGAAACCGGAAGCCGAGCTCCGGGAGGAGGGGGGGCCGCGGGGGCCGCACGCGCGCCGCGTCCGCTTCCGGCCTTAGAACATCCGCACCGCGGCAGCAGTTTCCGAAAAACTGCTAAGCCAAAAGACGCTGGGTTGAGTAGTAAAGAGATGCCCTCGCTGCACGAGACTTTGACGCCATAAATGCGTACAGAGGCAAAAAAAAAAAAAAAAGAACATCGCGTACGCGCGTGTGTGGACGCCTTTTTTTTTTTTTTTGTCTTCGTTCTATCAGGGATTACTTCATCACGGTAAAGTAAACGTTGCCTGCACACACACACACACACACACATACAAAAATAAAGCAGCAGAAAATCCGTAAAGACGTTATAAGATACCCTTGAAGAGTGTTTCCTGCTAACATAAACTTCGCTTACAGTGGCGTTCGAGACGTTGGTTTCTGTCTTATTTTCCTTGTTTCTTTTATTCGGGTTGCTCCCAAATGATATTCTCAAATGAGTGCTTACTTAGTTATGAAGCAAGTACGCAAGTGTTGCTCGACAAAGCAACCTAACGTTCCTAAATAAAAAAGAAAGAAAGAAAGAAGAGCTTGGTAGATACTTTCATTGTTATCGGGGTGCCCGAAACGGTGCCCATCGCGTAGTGGACAGCTACAGACGACGAAGGGTCAAGCGTAGCAGACGACAGCGAACTGCGCAGGCCAGCAGGAGGAAGTCAAAATAAACAAACACGCGGCAGCGAAGGACTCGCGACGCCAGAAAGGGAAAGATAAGAGAGCGGCGGAGGTCCGGATGATAAGGCAGGGTAAACAGGAAAGTGGAAACTGTGAAACACGGACAGATGGACAACGGAGGACGGCCGGTTATTTGAAACCAGAGAACGAGCGAGGGTGGGGAGGACGATGGTGGTTATATTTAAACGTTGAAGAAGCGATAACTGTGGGACAAGTGTAATTCCTTCGAATTCATTACACTTATCACACAGAGAACTCCAGTTCATTACACTTATTACACACACACAAAAAAAATCGATTACATCAACACTGTGATTATAAGAAAGAAATATATCACCAAATTGGAGGGGCAGACAACTTAACGAGAGACGAAATTTAGAGCAAACTTTATGTGAATACCGTCCGGGGAAAAGAAGGGGTGGAAGGGGGTAGGACGGTGATGAACAGAGAAAAAGAAAAGCCTCGGGCAGGGAGGGGGCAGAGCCGAAAAGAGGATGAGTCAGCAGCAGCGACTGGGAACACGAAGGCGCGGCTCTCGGACGCCCGTCCGGTCTGGAAAAAGGCGAAAACCGCTCCCTTTTTCGTGGGAATTCCCAGAACCTGCCGTGCTTTTTGGGTCCTTCCTACCTCTCCCACCAGGGGTCGCAGCGAACGCGGGATGGTTCACTGTGGGTGGATGGATGCGGCTCTCAACCCTTTCAGCGCTTTCAGCAACATCGTCGTTGCGCAAGCCGCCGCTCGACTTCAGCCCTTTTTATTCACTCATCCATCCATCTACCAAGACGCTTCCGTCGCACGGATGGCAAGTTTTAAGAGTTAATCATTAAAATGCGTAATCTACACTGTTTTGCGTATTATGAAGAGGTGAATGTTGTTAAACACCTAGCTAGGTGGCGCAAGCCGCCAGAGCCTGCGAAGTAAGAATGAGCTGGGATGACCTTGACGGACTCGCGTAGCGCGGCGCAGGCTTTTTTTTTTTTTTTTTTTATGAAGTTTGAAGTACGTACATGAATGTACAATTGTAAGAGATTGGTGGAAAGAGGGAGTTTCAAGTTGCTGAGTTCATTTACTGAGCCGGGAAAGGGTGACATTGACGTGAAACATTTCCTGAAACATGAGGCGACACTGCGAAAGTGGGGTGCTCGTTCGGAGTGGGATCAAAACTCCCACGGCGCCGAATCCGCAGTTTTTATCGACCACTCCTTCGTGGCCGCGGCCGCAAATGCAATGTAAAGAAAGATTAAGTGGATTCCGAATGTCGCCGTAACGACAACGTGACGTGCGTTGCCCTTTCAGTTATAAAGAGTCGCAAGGTTCAACTCTAGCCACTCTAGCACGCTGAAATTAAGTACTTGAATAGATCCTTAACTAGAAATTGTGACTGGAGCGTATTTGTTAAGCTCGTCGCCTCCGCTAGGGGAATATATCTGGCCAGTGGTTGGTCACAGAGCTGTCAATCATGGCGCCCAATGTCATTGAAACAATTTCAGCCAATGACGTGATCTTATTTTCGCCTTATTCCTACCAATTAATGACCAAACTCTCTCTGCATACCCGGCTCTGCTCTATGGAACACAGTTTTGAAACTAAACTCTAAATAGCACTTCAAACGACGGAAGGCAGACTGGAGGGTGTGAGGGGGTTACCCCTCCACGGGAGTTCTGCAACTGAGGTAATCTCGGAAAGTTGGTCTACAGGATACTCCATTTAGAATGACATCACCAAGCGCCATAGCTGCACGATGCAAAATAATCAAATGAGCACTGCAAATAAAAAAATAAAAAAGTGTACGAGCCCAGCCCCGAACATAAAACAACTGGAGGGGAAGCGACCTCCTCTCCAGCATTTGCTCCCGCAAAGTGGAAAGATGTCGGAGGAGTTTTCCCTAGCAGCGGGAACATGTAGGCACCCGAGTTTTCCCTGAACTCTTAACCCGGCACCAGCTACAGATGCATTTCAAGTTTGCAATCAGAAACCCAGTTCGCGTTTCCGTGTCCCGTACCATATGCAGGCGACAAGACACGGACAAAAGGAGCCAAAATGTCCCGACGCGAACCTGGATAGAGGGATGAACATGGACGGACCCTTCGAAGTGAGCGGCGGCTTGCGCCATCTAGCCAATATTTCCTTTCTTTATTTATATATATATATTTTTTTTAATTTCGATATTTAGCTTTTGTTTCACAATTTTTTTAAAAACAAAATTAAGTATAGGCTTTTTTTCATAGCAGCATCTTACTCCAGATATTTCCCATTCGCGCGCTTTGACAACACCGCGGTTGCTGGAAGACCTTCAACTTAATCCTCGGAATGCGCGACGACATAACAACCAAGTAACAACCGTCAGGATGCGTAAATTCCAACTCGAGTGGCCGCTAACAAAAAAAAAAAAAAAAAAAAAAAAAAAAAGGTACAAAGCGAGTGGGAACGGTTGAGTAACCCACCGCCGATGTGGAAATAGTCACCCACGCCTCACGCAGCAACGTTCACTAGAAAAACGTTGAAACAACACCCCTCCTCCCCCTTTGTGACGCATGTCGTGACATCATCACGTGCACCCGTAACTCATTTAAAGCCACGTCCACGCGCCGCACAGAGTCACGCCCCGCTGCTCCTCGGACGCCGAGAATATTTTTGTCACCACGTGCTTCGACAAGAGGCGCCGATGCGCGACGTTTCTGGAGATTTCATCCAATGCGGCTTCATCGAAAAAGTGGAGGTCTCATAGCACGCCGTTTCATCGAACTGATGACGGCCGTTTCATCGAGCGTTTTTATCGCTCTTTCCATGTTCGAAAACACATCTATGGCGTAAAATAAAAACGTGTAAAGATTTAAAAAAAAAAAAGCCATTTTTTTATGGTGCAGGGTGCCACGGGTTAGTTTTAATAAGGTGATAACTACCCTTATTTTATCGCCCATCGTTTTTCAACGTTTTTGTTTTTTTTCCTTCCAACTTTACATGTTTTTTATTTTACACCATAAATGTGTCTTCGAACATGGAAAGAGAAATAACTGTGTTTCTTGAACATAAAACAGTGTGACCTTTCAATGGCCAATGATTCTCTCACATAGTTTAAATGCCACCCTATGACTGTTGTGATTGTGGCATCACTTCGTCTTCTAATTCGTTCTCCCACTAAAGTGCAGTACATTCAGTTCTTATATTTATCCATAAATTAATATTTCTTTTACACTGGCAGCATAACACCGTGTAACTATTGGCAATAATCAAATAATTACCAGGGCCAGGCTGACAATATCCCAAAAAATTCTACATGTTGATTTACGCTGAGCCACCTCGGCCCCTGCACCTCTCCCTAATCCGCGACAACAAACTCTTCCTTTTTCTAGACTCAGTCCCCTCTCCCGCTTATCAACTGCCTACATTCAACATGCCTACAACAAAATTTGCAATTGAATGAGTGCCGTTTCAATAATTGCCAAAGGTACAACCACAAAGGTATCCTTGAGCGACGCTGAAGTAGCTCAGGTACGCCAATCAGTGGAGGCCCGCCTAATATGGTTTGGATTGTCCCCAAGTCCATCTTGCCCGTGGCGTGCTAAAGACCTTCTCACGGAAGAGATTAAACCTCCTCAAACATTTACACTCCCCACTTCTCCAAAAGCTACGACCGTAAACTTGAGCCTTTTAAAGGTTTTCTGCTCCAACAGAACACGCCTGGTCAAACCCTCTCGCAGGAGCCTGTGCCCACAGCTTTCAATGACAGCTGAATGGAATACAGACCAGAAAAGAACACAAAAACGCAGACTCACCCTAACCCTGTAGGTGACTCCCAACCCCAGCACTTCTTGGTCCGTATGTAACCATCCCCTCGGAGGTCTGCTGACAAATCCCTGAGGCAGCTGGTGGTGACATGGTTCCTGCTGCTGCTGCTGTGCTTGCTGGTGATGCTGGTGCCTTGGAGCTGGGGTTGCCACCTGTCCCCACGACGCGGCTGTGGCCATTCTCCTCACCGGCGGTGTCCTGACGGCGGCTGGTTCGGACGACAGTAAGACAGACGCCGGGACGCTCGAAGGAACGGGGGGCGGCGGTGCTGGCGGTAGGGAAGAAGGCAATATCCTCGCAGACGCGTTGGACGTTGCGGACACCGGGGCTGGCACGGGTGGTGCGACGGTGCTCGAACTCCTGCAAAAGAGAGTGAGGAGGAACTCATTTGAGCCATTTCGACTTCTGCAGCAGCCCTCGGGTCAGAAGGCTCGAAGATATTGCTCGTCGTGGCTATTCGCAACTTTCGGCGATTGTGGTACCGCGGTGTGAGAATCACGCTCCCTAGCTCCTCGATGATCGGCTGCACAATGAAGGTGCTTGCTTACACCTTCCTGAAGTGCAAGTCTTAAGTTGCTCATATTTCATAAAATTATAATTATTTGGGCGTCGCAGACCCAACATCTTGCTGCGGCTTTACAATGAGCACCCAGCTGACAGTCATTTTGATAGGAACCAGTGTGCAACCTACAGGATGTGAAAGTTGAATTGTGGCGAGCCAAACCAGTCTACATACCAGGCACGGGGGGGGGGTTGCTCCCCCTTTTCCCTTCCGAAATCTTCAATTTTTCTGGGGCCTCCTCTCCCCCTCCCCCTCATGCAGCATTTTGTCACAAGTGCCCGCCCCCCGAAACAAAATCCTGGCTACGTACCTGCTACACACTATATGCAATGTATCTGCTACTGCATATTTTTCCCGATGTATCTCTCGTACCCCTCTCCTTGCCACAAAGAGCAGTAAACAGATATGGGAATTGTCAAAACTGCCCTCATTATTTATCACATTTTTTCTCAATATATCTGCATAGATAGCTTCTTTTGCATTCTGGCCTCCTACTTTCCTCCTTTCAGCTGCATACGTTATCTTTTCTATCCATGCTTCATCCGATCTGTTTTTCCACAATCTGGTTGACAGCCACCAAGTCTGCTTTCTAGATTTATCCACCTACCTCATGTATAAGTACCTGGACATTTCACTTGACCTATGCTCTTCCTCCATTGCCCCAAAGGCAAGGAATGAAGCAACCTTCTGGAGACGTTACTTCAATGCGAACTGTGCTGCGGTGGTGACCACTGGTAAAGCCAACGCCGACGCTACGAATGCCCCACCTGTGCCCATAAGTGTTCCATTCCACTGCTGGAAACTGAAAAGCAGCACACGCAACACCAATGTGCGTGGAAGGTACATGTATGTTTGGCAGCAACACATGTGTGCTCGGGACATGGGTGACAGCTACACATGTGGTTGCAGCACCAGCGCAAGTTACGCGGGGGGTAAGTGTCACAAGAGTGACAGTGACATATTTGAAAGCAATATACCTGACGGCAACATGTGCTGTTGCAGCGTTTGGTAGCCGTAAAAATGGCGGCATAGGAGACAGAGAAAAAGAGTGAACAGGGTACAGCGACATGCAAGAAAACAAGAATTACAAATGGGTGAATAGATGGATGGACACTGCAAAACTCTTCGAATTGGGTGGCAGCTTGCATCACCTCTGCAGTGTGACAAGTAACATGCAAGAAAGAACAGAAAACCAAGCATTAGATGTGAGTGGATGCATGAACTGGACCCCTCTAATCGAGCCACAGCTTGCACTATTTAGCCAGGGTACACGCAACACTAACTAGTAACAAGCAAAAAAAAAAGTGAAAGCCGTTTACAACTCCCTGTAACACCGAATTAGAGCGCAGCTCTTGAGGAGGAGGAGGGAAGGGTACTGGGGGGTGAAGTGACTTGGGGGGGTCACGTGACCTTGGGGAGTCACGTGACCATGCCGATGATGTCATCAGTGACGTCACTGATGACGTCATCAGTGATGATGACGATGACGATACGGATGCCGGTGACGTCATCGGGAAGGTCACGTGACCTCGGCGGGGGTCACGTGACCCTGGGGGTGGTCACGTGACCTCGGGGGGTCACGTGACTTCAGGGGGTCACGTGACTTTGGGTGTCACGTGACCTTCGGGGTCACGTGACCTTGGGATGACCTTGGGGGCCACGTGACCTTGGGATGACCTTGGTGACGCCGACGGCGACGCCGCTCAAGCCGGGAACGGGCCCCTAAGAGCTGCGCTCTAAAAAAAAAGACAAAGAAACAAGTATAACTGAATCCCCGAATTGGGTGGCAACTAGCGCCACATAGCGAGTGTGGCATGCAACGCTGGTTAGTAACCTGCAAGGAATGGATGGGTGGATGGATGCATACAGCTGGACCCTTTGGATTAGGTGGTGGCTTACAGCACCTGTCCAGTGTGTCAAGCAACAGTGTAGCAACACGCACCCTTGGGGCAGGCGGGTGTAGCGCTCGGATCCGGCGGTGCCCGTGGCCGCGTCGTCGTCTGCGCCGGCCCTGCTGTGCTGGCTGGGGTCCTCCTTTCTCCTGAGGTTGGCCTCCAGGTGCCTGACGAAGGCCGGCGCCCTGGCGTCCGCGTGGTCCCGCGGCGCCGCGGTGGCGCGAGCCAAGGCCGAGCTGGCGCCTCCGCCCGTGGTCGCGGGCGCCGAGGCTGGGGCCGGCAGAGAGCCCCGGGCTGGGCTGGCGCTGTGCAGGCGGGGCTTCTCGGCGGGGACGATCAGGCGGGACGCCGCCGACGGCTTGCGGAAGGTACGGCTGGCCGCGGACGTTGGGGGGCCGCAGCAGTCAGCCAGGGCGGCCGGCGCGGCGCCTGTCACAGACCACAGAGAGATGGCACAAGTCAGCAACCCGGTGGTTTCATTCCCTCTCTCTCTCTCTACCTGATGGTTACATACGCGGACTCTCGCCGAGTACCTCGGCAAACATGCCCGACAAATAGACCTTCTTACAAAGATGACCGCGATGCCGAAAGGAATGCTGGGGGGCACCACAGGTTTGTACATTTAGTGACACCGAAAATATTCTCATACAATAACATGTAATGTGCCATTAATAATGACCCTTTTTTTCACTGCTGGATGCGCTGCGCTTACTTTGTTTTGCCTGACGCGGAAAGCCAGTTATGTTCATAAAATATGTCTGTATAATTGTTGCTTATTTGTTTTGTCCGTTATAATTATTTTGAGACTTGAAACCCCGTCCTACCCCGCCTTCCAAGAGAAGGTTAGTAGTATCTCTAAATAACTAAATAAATAAAAATACAAGCACTGCCTATAGTTTTCATCGTGGTTTTACGTTACTAGTATGAATTGCATGCTTGTGTATAAAAACCTTCACACAAGTTGTCATTATATGAAACGAATCGGTATAATACACACATAAATTTGCAATAATCCACTAAAAGACAATTATTTTTCCTTTCAACCACTTTGCAATACATGACGGAAACCAAACTCAAACAACATGGTTACGGATCTATAAAACAGGCCCATTAAATATCCCTTGGTAAGGGGAGGGGGGGGGGGGGGGGGGAGCTCCCGGTTCTGAGCTGGTTTGAGCAGCTTCCCGGGGGGACCCGTTTGGCGACACCGAAATTTCCATTAAGGAAGGAGGCGTGGCTCATACTCCATGGGTGGAGGACAAACAACATAAAAAAAAGACCGTCCAGAAACCTAATACAAGAGAACAGGAAGGACGTTTGGGCACCGTTAAAGGCACACTCCCACAACCAAATAAGAAGCAACAAAAAAAAATTAAAGGAGGGGGGGATGTCCCGGTGCCGGTTTTGTCGGTGACGAGCTAGAAAAGAATGAAAGATAATAAAAACGAAAACGAGAGAAAAAAAAAATATAAAAAAGAAGGTGGGAGAGGAAGCTAGGTAGGTAGGTACTTCCCGGAAACAGAAAACCAACTTCCGGCCCGTAGCCGACACTCGTACACACGCGCGCGCGCACACACACAGACGCACGCCGCTTTCTGGGGGCACGGCAGGCAGGAGGGGCGCAGCGGAGGGGGCTCATAAAGAGGGGGAAACGGAAAGAGGAAACGGCTGCGCTGGTCCCCCCCCCCCCCCCCCCCCCCATCCTCCCCAGTTTGGTCGTCGGTCCCCCACACCCTCAACGTCCCGTCGGCTGCGTCGCATGCTGAACGACCGTGAACGAAACAAATAAATAAAGATAAAATAGGTTTAATACGTGCGCGATGAAAATTAGAGAGGAGTCAGAATGAGAGGCAATCAGACAACTGACGGAACAGACAGATCAGATAGACTTTGCGGTATGGCTGGCTAGCAGGAAAGTTCTGACGGTCTATTGAAAGAGAGCGGCCGTCCGGTTCAAGCCTACGGCGTGGAGCGTGATCTGTATGCCAGAAGCAGCGCATAGGGCTAGAAGAGAACATGCTAACAGAAACGGACGGACTGAGCAAATGGGAACGCGACCCCTGGCTAAATTTCTCATCTACAGCTAAGAGACCGATTACCCGTTGAGGCGTATCTCCATCAAGGCTGCATAAACATACAGAGCAAGCCAATTTTTTACCCAGGCTCGATCTAAAATGAGCAATAACTGCTCGTAGCAATCTAAACTTTTGGTCTAAAGTGTATTTCGCAGGTCGGTTTCATCGTCCAAAATTCCACAGCGTAGTTCCTTTTCTCTCTCTCTCTATATAGCCAGACTCTAACATGGTAAACCCTGGAGCCGGGGAAAAGAAGGGACGTAGGACAGACACAAAACGGCGGATGGCGACGCAGACGACCAAGTCGAGCGGCGGGGCATGTTTGGCACACGTACCGATAGATGGCGTCGGGAGAAGCGTCCGAAGGTGTAGCCGACCAGCAAAAGAAAGCAGACGACACGCAGACGAAATCCGTTGGCAGCTAAAGCGCCGTAGTTATCTTTTTTCCCTGTTTTTCTTTTTTGTTAGTTGGAGTTTTGTTATTATTGTACGCGTTTATTTTTAAACAAAAAGGTACCTTACAAAAAATGTATTGTTAATTTTAACAGACCACGGTCGTCGCGATAAGGAGGTAGCGCCATCTATCACACGTGTGCTCCAAACGCGTCCCGTCACCTGACTCGGTCGTCTGCGTCGCCGTCCGCCGTTTACCTTGGCAAGTTCTTTTGGCCCTATTTTGGCCCTAGTTTTCGCGGAAAGGGAGCTGCGCTTTGTAGTTTAAAAAACAAAAAACGACCTGTGAAATACACCTTTGAGCAAAAGTTTAGATTGCTACGTGCAGGCGCCGATTTTTACGGCCCGTTTTAGATCGAGCCTGGGTATTCAAGACACCCCATATTTCTATATTGCTCTTGGATGGTTGAGCGTTTCAGTCAGAAGGTGGAACACAATTTCCAAGGAATACTAGACCGATCTCACCAGTCAGTTGAGCGGGGTTGCAGCAAGCCCTGAGCAGCAACGCCGCTCAGGGTTTGCGCGAGCAGGGCACCAGGCGGCACGAGCACCTCGTGCCGCCTGGTGCCGCCGTCTCGTGCACTGGTACCTGCTTCCTGCGAACCACAGTTATGGCGGCGTCACGCATGCGTGGAACGCTTGGTGAGATCGGTCTCTAGGGAGTATTCACGGGCAGCCATAGCTGTGCGCGCGTGCTCACGGCGAGCTTGCCCAGTTTTTTTGCAACGTTCATTCGGCACCATCAAGATTGCCGGTCTTAGCAGCCTATTGATGTGAGGTCGTTCTGAACATGCGCTCTTAACATCGCCGTCAACGTGTAGCGTGAACAAAGCTTGTAATTGGCACGGGCTTTCCCGCACGAGCAGAGACATATGGCGGCGGCCAGTCGCTTTGCCGCTGTGGCGACCGGCATACAGATGGTACCACGGTGATAGTGAAATACACGAGGCACGAATAGCGGCACCTCGCTCAGCCGATGAGAGGCAGCGACCTTCGATTCAAGCCCACCGTACTTGTGGTTCACACGGCGAAGAAGCACCTCAGACTATCATCCCTGCGCATCAACCGACACTGAATCAGGGGCGGTCCAAGTTGATTTTGGACTCGGCGTGCAACGACACAACACCCAAAGGGGTCAAATGCACAGAGGGTTCGGACTTGGGTTTTCTTTTCACGTTACGAACAGTTACCAGCTAAGCTGTATTTTTTTTAATGATCATTACAGAGACCACGATCAAGCATCATTACAGAAAACGTCGACACCAAATGAATTGGGCGTGTGGAGTAATAAAGTACGTTTCAAGAAGCTGTAACTTTTACTTTTTTTTTTTCAGGCGAAAAAAAAAAAAAAAAAAGGAACCGTGGAGATTTTGGGGGGCGGGGGGGAGGGGGGTTCAACTTAGAAGCCCAACGTCAATGGAGTGTCGGACTGGCTTTTGGCAGTGATGTTTCACGTTCAAGAACTATAAAAGGACAACACGGGACGCGGGAGGAGAGGTTTGTGTCCCAGTAGAGGGGACAAAGGTACCGCCCTTCTTCTACAGCCACTAGCTAGCCAAGGCGATTTCGCGAAGTCCTTCGGAGGGCCAACCGCCGTAACCAATGCCGAGAGGCTCGGCCAATCACGAGGCTGGCAATATGTCCATACGTACAAAATACTGCACGCGCTGTGACACTGAGCATATCGACACGTCATGCTCAATACCAAAGCGCCCACTTTCTTTTTTCTTAGGTTTTGTTATATTTTTAGTATCGCAGGTATTATCAAAGTGATTTTCTTCTTTTTCTATTACAGAGAAAAAGAAAAAAAAAAAAAAAGAACAGAGGCGAGCGAGTAGAAGACTACTCGAGCGGAACGGTGTGACGCGCAGGCGCCGATCAAAAGAAACAGGAAAGCGGCGGCCTCGGCGGCTGCTGCTGCCACTACTACTACCCCGGTCACACGCTATCGAGCACACACGACGTGGCGGCGAGCGCCGAGGAAACGCTGCTGGCACGAGGGAGAAGAATAGGACCGAAACGAGAGCCAGGACCGAAAGTCGGACAACACGCACCACACACGCGCCGTCCTCGACACAAGCTACGGACCACTCGAAAGAGCCACCGAAGTCGCGCCAGACAGTCCGACCATCTTCCTCGTATGACTGATCACACAATTAAACCGTCTCGAGACGCGTTCGATGCACGCATCGAACCAATCTTACAGGAGAAACAAATTGGCAACCGCCAATTTGTTTCTTAGGGAAACCTCGTTCCAGGCAGACGACGAGCGGGTGCACGCTAAATAACGCTAAAGCACCGAATACCGTCGTCGACCCCTGAAACATTTGAAACGAAACCCGAGAATGCCCACTGCCCGTTGCGGGCCTGCAGCCTCGAGTTGCACGATAATAGGTCGCCTTCGAGCAACGAACTTGCAACGATCAAAAACGATTTTCTACTCTCAGTTCCGTAGTAATTGGCGCTGCTGTTTCCCGACCACCTAGAGCGCTACACTCGGATCAGGGGTGATCAGGGGTTCACGTCCGAATGACTCTCACGAGAATTTACCGACGTCACCCGAGAGACAGCTCGCGCTTGTTGCGCAGGAAGAGAAAAATGGCGGGATTCCACCACCGCGACACGCTTTATGGTCACCGGGGTCCCTTCTAGTTTTTTAACTGCTTTCGCTTCTAAGTACACCCATTATAAATCTCCGCTTTTGTTTCCACTCCCTCTCTTTTTTTACGGACAATATTTTGGCGAAATACCTGACCCCCTCTCATTATCCAGAATGGAGCCTTCCCCTTTCGTCCAGCAACCTTCGACCCCCCTCCCCTTTGCCCTTTCTCACGTACACGCGCAAATAAATAAATAGGCAAAAATAAACGTCGCTACTTCAGCGAGACGAAAACTACGACC